GTTTTACGATGTACACAAATAGAACATGTTCACATATAATTTAGAAGATGGGCGCGAAGCGCCCTATAATGCTAGAAAGAAGGGTGCGAAGCGCCTTGAATTTCTAGTATTTAATAATTTTAAATGTTCATCTATAATATAGAAATTAATAAATAATTAATAAATGCATCTCTCAAAACATAATTTCTTTTCATGGCAAATTTATTTGATCGATCTCAAGTTAAACATAATTCATAAAACTTATCAAATATTTGAAATGCGAAGACAGAAACTCTACAGAATATGATATCTACAGTTTTTAACATCGAAATATAATATTCAAATATGTAAAGGGTGTCCCAAAAACATGGGAATTTAGGAACGAATTTGATAATGTCTTTTTAAATAATTCTTTGATTTAGTATAGTGATTCCAACTGAGAAAGCTGAAATCTGTAAGCGTTTCGTCTGCTATGTTCACATTTTGTTTGCTTATGTTTTGACTGCATACGTTTGTACTTAGTAATACAAGAAAATTGCAGTATACAAACAGAGTAAACTTGTCCGTCTTCACTGTTCATCTCGCGGAGACATTGTAGACGCATCTTTGCAGTCTTTTACCCTTTTCATAAAATAAACTCTAGCAGACATAATAATATTATGGCTTTTGAAATTAGGTATTTCACTGCTAATTCATAACAAAGACGATATCAAATTCGTCACTGAATTCCCATGTTTTTTTGGGACACCCTGTAAATCAATGAATTCTTCATTTGCGCGCTTGGATATTTACAAAAAAAAACTTTGATTAGAATCTAAATAAACTTTTTTCTGTAAATACATTTCAGTTTCATCTGCGTAGCAATTGTAAAGATTCTGCCGTTTTTCTTATTTTAAGTTTGGTTGATTTTCTCCTGTTTCTTCTGTATACATCCTTGAGTCACTTTTATAAAGAAACAACTGTTGAAAATGATCAGTTTTCTAAGTCTATCATTCACAGCATTTTATCTTATGATCTAAACTAAAAGTTTGCTTAGTTGAATCCATATTACAATTGCGTGTCTGAAATATATGCAGGGTGGCTTCGAAAAAAGGACCCAACATTTTTTTAAATCATTTTAATACATAGCCTACAAAAGGGTCGACCATAAAAATAAAACACGACTATCATTCACATTTAAAATTTTATGGATTGTTTACTTTTCCCTACAGTTACACCCCATATATTTTAAATGTATGTGGGAGGGATAGAAGGGTTGATCGATATTTATAAATTATAATAAATGAGTTTTGGTTTGTTTACAAAATGGATTGGAGAGAATGAATCATTTTGTAAATAAAAAGAAAACAAAAAACAGCTGATGGTAATTGATTGAGATAGTTTTTGTGTATGGTTTTATTAACCTTTACAAATCTGAATATAAAGCCTACATATATTCAAACCTTATATATTCAGGATGAGTTGAAGGAAAAAAAAACATCAAATAGTCCAACATTTTAAATGATTGAGTTAAGACTTTTTGATAAACGTAAATCCATTGAAAAATAAGTTTTGGTTTGTTTAAAAAATGGATTGGAAATAATGAATTATTTTGTAAACAAAAAAGCAGCAGATGATAACTGATTGAGATGGTTTTTGTGTATGGTTTTATTAACCTTTACAAATCTGAATAGTCTACATTACATATTCAAACCTACAGGATGAGTTTGGCCAAAATATAATTTATAAAATAGCCCGTATTTTAATGATTGCAAGGTATGGGTTCATAGTTTGGATAATGATAACTCCCTTGAAAAAATAAAAAGTAAACATGTATATAATTCATGCTAATTATTCATATTATCAATATAAAATATGTTTATTTTGATCTCTTTAATCTCAACAAAAATAAGTTTCATCAAAAGCTTTTAGAAAAAGGAATTGTTCACTTTTTATTAAGGTCTTTGGCAGTGCACTATGTAGATGAAGTGAAAGATCTAAACTTTTCAATCTAATGTGTACAGAGGCATAAAAAAGACACTTTCAGTGGTTATGAATGCAATTGCATGAGGGCCGGAGTAATCAAAGGTTGCGAAATCGTTCCAGTAATTCCAAAATTTGACATGGCTTCTTCTATCCAACTTCTGTCTAGATGAGTGTAAAATGAAAGATCTAGTCTGACTAGAAAGTTTGATAAAAAAAGTTAAAACTTGGGGATTAAATTAATGAATTCTGGATTTATATAAACTAGAATATATTTCTTCAAACTTTGCTTAATGTTTACTGTTTAACCATGGGAGAAACATAAAGGGAACATAGCAAAGGGGATTTAAACGGATTATAGTGCTTGAGCTGAATATGTTTTGGGTGTCGAGGGTGACCCCCAAATAATGGGCGATTACGCGGTATGGGTGAAGGTATTGGTTACATGGATATTGGATAGAGAGAGCCGTGGGTTTCCCACATTTATCTCTAGCAGTAGGGGTTCAATGAAAAGTGCAAGAAAACTGGAACCTGAAATTGGACAAAAAAAAGAACTGATTACTCGCATCAAACTCTAATATTTTGGTCCTTTTGTCTTTGCATCCTGTTGTTGGAGTTCTGCTAAAATATCATCAGCTGTCGCAATTATATATCGGAATATGAAAATTAGAGTTTGATAATAGTTTTCAGTTCCTGTAAAACATCTGCTGTAGACCAAATTTAAAGTGACACTGTGAGATTTATGAGTGGCATGTCCGATTCACAACGATGCCCTTTAAACCTTTTTCTGTTCAATGAAATAATATACTAAGTTTTGTAGCTACAAATCAATTATTTTCTTTTACGTTGGTTTTCTTAAAAATTTTGAATGAAATGACCTTCATGGTGAGGTCACAACTCCATGACCTTGCTACTCCTCTGCACCAAAAATTATTGGATGTTATGTCCTATAAATGTCTATTTATGTATTTAGTTTGAAAAAAAAAATCGGTGATGGTGCCTTACAAATTAGGAAGTCGCTGATTTCACATGGATTGACCCATAACTTACAAATTTAGAAAAAATAATATTTACTGAAACCAATATACAACACAAATTGAATTTCAATCATACAATGTGTCCCAATAAACTTGGGAATTGAGTGACGAATTCGAGTTCGTCTTTGTTAAAAAAACTAGCATTATTTGGAACTCCTAAAAAAACTAAAAGTTATTTTGATGAGCTGGATTTCTAAAAATTTAACCAAATATATTTTCTCAAACTTGTTCATAAAATCAAAACAAGGAGCTTCGAGAGGTCACAAAGTTGTACTACTGAATGTTACAACTTTTTCTACAATTTTTACTTTTTTCTTCTGTGTAGTTTGCATCCCAACATATTATCTATAATATATACAATACATGATATGTTAAACAAAGCTTACTCCGTGTACAATAACATCACAACAGTACTCAAGACTGGAGAAATCATGGGAATGCAACTGAACTCATCTCTCTCTATCTCTTCTGAATAAACAAATTCTTCTTCATGCTGTTTCCCAATACAGGCGCAACTAAAGGGGGGGGGGGAGGCAACCATGACAGGGAAATACTGGGGGTTTAGTGAGTTTTTTTTTGTCACATCTACAGTAGACGCTGTGTTGTGCCCATGGCTAGCACCTAGGGGGGGCACAGGGTAAAGTGCCCCTCTTTTTCCAGAAAAGAAGAGAAAGAAAAAACTGAAAAGGAGGAAAAGAAGGAAACGAAAAGAAATGATGGGATTCACGGGGTAATTTGTTCTTCAAATAGAAAAAAATTGTGCTTTCTGAAATAAACTATTTGTCAATTTTTATTTGTACGTAAAAGATAGGGTTTTAAATATTTTTTTCAGTTTTAGAGAGTTATCCTTTATCCTTCTTTTATTAAATAATGATTGATTTCAACACTGTTAAAGAGCAAAAAGTATAAGGAAAATGTTGCTAGGTTTAGGTAAATCTGTACCCATAGCGTCACAGCTTGCAGGAAAATTTCTAAAATTTTTCTGAAGCTTATATAATAGAGGCATTTGCATCCTTAATGATGCCATTTTCCTTTTTAAAATGACAATTTTTGACTATTCGCCAAGCAAAAATGTTCAGTAATACATGATGGTTTCTAGACTTTTACTTAAATCCCAACATTAGTTGATATATTTTATGATGTTTGACACCATTATTCCTCTAGTTAAAAAGGAAATATTAAAAAACTGTTTTTTGTTTTGATTTAAATGGCTTCTCAATAGCTCATAGAAATGTTTAATAAGATAAAAGAATCTCCAGCTTTTATATTTCAGTAATTTATTTTTATCTCATCCTTTGTGGGAAAGCCTGTATGTCATGTTATTCACTCTTCAGTTTAAGATTTGAAAAGTGTGATAGCTGAAATAGGGGGGGACGCCCATATGCCCCCCCCTCCCAATTAGGGGCACGCCTCGACGTTCCTTAGTTTTCTACAAGGATGTGCTCTATAACCCCCTCCCCCACCCCTCCTTATAAACTCTATAAGCAGCCTTTTTAACATTTTCGTATGAACTTTTATCGTTTTTATAACAGGGATATTTTGTGGTTTCGTTTCTAATTCTTTATGATGTATAAATATAACTAGACACGTTAGGAAATAAATTAGTTACAAATTCAAGAATCAAGGGAGTAATAAGAGACGACGTCAATCGTTCCACTGTTTTTTGGATACCACTGTAAGTTTCCGAAGGGTAACGATGATGATGTGATGTGTAAATGTATGATTAAATAAACGGAGGTTCAGTCTAAAATTGATTTTTACTGTCATAACTATGAAGACGACGTTATGATTATGGACGCGGCATTAAAAGCCAGTTTGCGCAAAAATTTCCAGCTAGACAAAAAGTTCGCATCGCAATAAGTGTCACAATGCATAATTGCAGAACGCAAGGGTTTAGGATTTTAATATTTGAATACTTTAAAGGTTAAATTTCATTTTAATATTAATGTATGAATCCCATAACTGGATTTTGTTATAATTGATGAAAATCATGACATATGACAACTGAATTAATTTGTAATTGTAGTTTATTTACTTATAAAGTTGATTTCAGATTGTTATGATTATAACCAGGATAAAATGAGCCAAACTCCTGTCATGGAAGGACAATCTAAAACCAAAACAAAACGGTTTAAAGTCAAACACCCGAAGCGGAAACTATTCCGAGCGAGTGAGCCCCTTCTTTCTGTGTTTATGTGGGGCGTGAACCACTCTGTGAGGGAATTGCAGCATGTCCACGCCCCCGTTATGCTGATGCCAGACGACTTCAGATCTTTTTCTAAAATCAAGATTGACAATTATGCTTTCAATAAGGAAAACCTTCCCAGTCATTTTAAGGTAAAGATCGAACAAGAATCAAACCGGTGTTTTGTTCACCCACTAGTGTTTTAACCAGTTCAACGCAATATTAGACATATAAAAGTAATTAAAACATTTGACATTATTAGTTTACAGAAACAAATGCGCATTTAGTTCTTACATGTATTATTAAAGTGGGGAAACGCAATAAAATTATCAAACAATCAATATTTATTCGAGACATAAGTAATTTTTAATATGTTTTTCTAATCTACTTATATTTACGAACATCGGCAGGTGTCATGGTGACATGGAAACGCCTCAACACGGAAACGACTCAACACGGAAATGCCTTAAAAAAACAGAATCATAAAACTAATTTAATGTCGTCTTCTAACATTAAAAAAAATTTAACAATTATTTTACCATTAATTTAGGGTAAGTTAGGTTGCGCCGCAGGCTACAAAGGGGGCCGAGCGCTGCGGCTAGGATGGCTATTAGGGGGCCGAGCGCTGAGACTAGGACAGGCTAGGGGGCCGTGCGCTACGGCTAGAACAGGCTAGGAGACCGAGCGCTGCGGCCATGGCTGTGAAAATCAGTAGAATATAGTCTTTTTAATTTTAAGTTGAGAGAAGACGACATTAAATTAGTTTTATGATTCTGTTTTTTTGAGGCATTTCCGTGTTGAGTCGTTTCCGTGTTGATGCGTTTCCATGTCACCAGGTGTCATAACACTAATTTGATGTCTAACATTTGGTTTGAAATTTGGTTAAAACACTTAGGGAAGGTAAACTGTCTGGCTCAGTCCTAAAACAGGATTGGGTCCGTCTTAGTATACGATTTTTAGACGTATATCGTATATTTTGAAATTACCAACATGATTTTTGGACCCCGCCCCACTCCAAAAAATGTACATGAAATTTGTATTATTTAGAGTAAGGCTAACACATGATAGGGGGCCGAGAGCCGCGACTAGGATAGGTTAGGGGGTCGGATGCTTAAGCCACATTTTCAAGATTTCGAGGTGAAAGAGAGGGGGGGGGGTCCAAGAAATACTAACTATCGCGGGAAAGTAATCGAATGCAGGACACTGGGTCAGAAGGCGTCATTTATAAATTGAAAATATATACAGTATACACTTGAGAAAAAGGTGAAATGAGTACAAATTAGCCTTGATGAGATTATTTTTTGTTAAAATTACTTTTATTTAAGGTGAAGGAGTATTGCCCCCTTGTGTTTCGAAACCTGCGGGAAAGATTTGGAATCTATGATGAAGATTTCCTGTCCTCCCTCATCAAGTGCCCTAAACCAATGGACGCTCATAAAAGTGGAGGAAAGTGCTATCTCAGGTATATTATTAAAGGGACTGTTAACGTTATTAAAAGTGACCCTCCATGCAAACATTGCAATGCCTGATTCACAACAGTTGCAGTAGCGGCCCTTAAAAGCGTTTTTCTTATAGATCATTGTCTAAAGTTTATAAACTGATTATTTTCTCTAGAAAAGTAACTTGCGCATATCTACGGGAGGAAAACAAAGAACATGTTCAGAATTGAACATTTTTAAACCTAGAAATACGACAATATCCTTTACATCAACGGTCAGATCAAGGTTTTAAGGATACCGGGCATGGCCATCTTTGCATGCTTAATGTCCCTTTAAGAAGTAGAATGTTTCACAAGATTTCATGTTTTTTGGCTGAACAACTCGACTTTATAAGGATAATATTTCCGTTTTTTTCTAATACATTGTCACGATTTTAATTAAATCGGCAAGCAGTTTAAATTATTTGTTAATCTTTGACCCAAGGTTATTAACACCTTTGTTTAACTTCATTAAGAATAAATCTGCATATATCTATATATTAGAACAATACATAAAATGAAAGCCCCAATTCTAAGAGTATAAACATTAAAACATTAATGTGAACTAAAAAAATGTTCATGGATGAAGATGTCAGTGGTTTGGATCCGAATTCACTGTGAAAGATTTTTCAAGAGAATATAATTATACACCTCTGAAAGTTTCGCCGTCTGTATCCGGATCCTGATCTGGATCTAAAAGGAATAGATTCAAAGCACTGACAGTGCTGCACTGTTTTAAGAAAAACCCAAATTAGAAGTTAAGCAATTTAGAAAGTGAATGTTGTTTGTTTAGTTATGATGGAATATATGTGATCAACACCCTTACCACGGACCAGGTTATTTCTTGATTACAAAATTGAAAAATTTGTCGAAAAATACCATTTGTTGCAATCCTAGATATCTGGAAATATAGAAGGAACTTCAATAGCTTTGTTTACAAAAAAAGTGTATGGCATTTTCTGGGAGAAATTTAAACAAACGCAGTGCTGCTACTTTGTTTATATTCCTCTAAGAAACTTCTGTGTATACATGTCATTTAAGCTATAGAAGATCCTTTTATACTTTGTACTTAACTTTAGTCGGAAAATCACTATGATGTTGATTCGTTAAATGATGATACAATCAAATGTTGATGTAATCAAATGGAATCACAATGTCAACCTGAATTCTGTCCCTTCAGTTAAGTGTAAAAATACAATTAACAATTTTATTGGAATTCTGATTCAACATGTACTTAGCCAAACCCTGGAACAGTGATATAACTATTTAACCCCTGACAAAGATAGGTTTCTTTTCTGGGAATAATTTTTAAAAATATATTTTTTGATTTCTAGGTTGAAGAAATGCATTGTTATCTCAAGCACTATCATCCTTATGTAGTAGAGCGACACGGGAAAACATTACTTCCCCAGTATCTAGCCATGTACAGGTAAATAGAACATTACTCTCCCAGTATCTAGCCATGTACATTGTACACTACAGGTGTACATACAACATTACTCCCCCAGTATCTAGCCATGTACAGGTAAATAGAACATTACTCTCCCAGTATCTAGCCATGTACATTGTACACTACAGGTGTACATACAACATTACTCCCCCAGTATCTAGCCATGTACAGGTAAATAAAACATTACTCTCCCAGTCTCTAGCCAATACAACATTACTCCCCCAGTATTTAGCCATGTACAGGTAAATAGAACATTACTCCCCCAGTATCTATCCATGTACACTGTACAGGTACATACAACATTACTCCCCCAGTATCTAGCCATGTACAGGTAAATAGAACATTACTACCCCAGTATCTAGCCATGTACAGGTAAATAGAACATTTCTCCCCCGGTATCAAGCCATGTACAGGTAAATAGAACATTACTCCCCCAGTATCTAGCCATGTACAGGTAAATAGAACATTACTCCCCCAGTATCTAGCCATGTACAGGTAAATACAACATTACTCCCCCAATATCTAGCCATGTCCAGGTACATATAACAGAACTTCCTCAGTTTATAGCTATGTACACTGTACACTATACGGTATATCATGTTAATATTAATAAAGCTGCGATGTATTTGTGTCTCATTTTTGTCCGTTCTTAAAGGGAGTGACCGGCAATGTATGGTGGTTGAACTGAATATGTGGTATTGTGGACACATTAGTTTCTATAATATCTTTTTAGGCACAAAGATTTTCTGCATATTTTCTGTAATTGTTATTGAAAAGACGACATTTGAAGAATTTGTAGAAATCTGAGAACAAATTCATAGAAAATAAGAAATTCAATAATATGATGAAAACGAAGTAATTGATTCTAACATTGACATATTGATAAATATATTCCTAAACATCTAATTAGTTTACTGTATAATTTTTACTTAATCCTTCTTCGTCGTTATTTAATAATAAAGAAACGATTCTGAAAACGTACTATTTTTCGTCGTCGATATTTAATAATATTAAACGATTTTGAAAACGTACCTACCCAAATTCATGATTTTGAACATCGACTTTGCACACAAACTCGGTAATTATACATCTTGGAAACGTTTTATATGTCTCAAATGAATCCTAAAAAGATTTTCCACAATACTGCATACTGAGTTTAACCACCATACATTGCCGGTCACCCCCTTTAACGTGTTTCCCTGGGGCGAATCCGCTTCAGTGCATTATCGATATTTCTTCGTAGTTGATGCGTTCTCTTTTGCAGTAAAGAATGTTAACGAATGTTCCCAGCTAATAAAAGTGTATAGTTAATTAAACGTATGTGTGGGTCATGTCCGAAAAAAATATGCCCCTGTTTAAAAATTTTATTTTCTAGGCTAACAGTAGACAATATAGAGACCTATCTGGTGGTTATGAGGAATGTGTTCAGCTCTCATATGAGAATTCATAAAAAATATGATCTGAAGGGATCAACAGTCGACAGAGAGGTATGCAGTATTTATCTTAATTAAAATTGATTCAGCATTAAAGTTTTTTGTTCAAGAATGAGAAACGATTGTTTGGGTGCTGAAATCCCTTGACCCACTTAAAAATCAACATTTCCCATTCCCAGATATTTAGAAATTTTAAAAGATTGGTCTATTTGGATTCAAAAACATTAACTTTTTTGTTTATTATCTGCATTCTGCAAGCATTTATACTAAACATAAACAATTAAAAGAATTCACAGATTTTCTTGTATTGTTATTGTTATTAAGGGAAAGAAAAATGTTAAAGACACATTTTTATCCAGAGACCAGCCTTAAACCTTCCTTTGGGTTATGTGATGCACCAGAAAAAGTTTTGGCCAGATCGTTTCAGAGATCTTTTAGCCGTTTTGACGTTTATTGGATAAAAACAAACAAACAGACCGGACACATTTGATTGATATTGATTGATTGATTGATTGAATGATTGATTGATTGATTGATCTTTCTAGGCTAGTGACAAGGAACGAGAGAAGAGCTTGCCTACCCTAAAGGATAATGATTTCCTGGGAGATAATTTGAAGATTTGTATTGGAGAGGAGGCCAAGGAGAAACTATTGGAGACACTAGCTGCTGATGCAGAGTTCCTTGCTAGGTAGGTTATTTTTAGGGATATTTAATATTTACATTTTCAAGAATATCCCCCCCCCCCCTTTTAACAGTCTTGACTTTTGGAGAAACTAGCGCAACGTAGGTAAACTTTAGGGATATATATTTTCAAGAATACCCCCCCCCCTCTGCACAGTGTGACTATTTTGAAGACACTTGCTACTGATGATGTGTTCCTTGATAAGGTAGGCACACTTTTATCAAGTGTCTCTCCTCATCTTTTAAAAATATTTTGGGGAAAATACTGTTTTAGAGTAAAAAGTTGCAAAAATTATTTTACAAAACCAGTTTAATTTTAGCATATTTTTTTCTTCTTTTACAGCGCAATGCACATATTTTTTAAACGTAGTATAAAAAATTCGAAGACAGCATTTTTTTTTTTTTTTTTTAATTGATTGTCCTTCAGGTTGAATATAATGGATTACTCGCTACTGCTCGGGATCCACGACCTCGACCTCGGTGCAGAGGAGGTCCTCGAGATGGTGGAGGAGGACGAGGAGGATGATGAATATGACTCTGGAGGATCTGGAGGTTGGGGTCAATATATTTTATTAAGAGTTATTTCTGAAAATGGATTGATGCATTTTGCAACTTGTATTTTGTGTTCCTAAGGGTTGACCCTGTCAGCTATTTCCCCATCCTTATCCAATGAATGCTTGTGCAGATTGACGACATTTATTTTTTCTTCGCTGAAGTGGGGAAAAGGGGTTTAAGGGAAAATGATGAAATTTTTGATTTCATAGTTTCCTGGAGAGCGGTAAAAAGTTCAGTTTGTGTACGCTTTATAACAAATCCATGTTAATCTATTATTTTTATTTTTAAAAAGCTTCAACTCTTTGCTTATTTACTTCTTAATATGTCATAAGTTTAAAAAAAAACTATAATAATAATTTGTTATACACGGGATATCGTTCGTTATTATTAATCATAATATCATGTTTTTGTCCGAGAAGTCTGTACCACTTGGTATAGTGTACGCGGGACATAATAAATAAATAAACGTGGGTTGAGACTTTATATTTTTTATTCCCTGAAGGCATAAAACTTTGACGCGCCTCTTTCTTTAATTCTGGTTTTAATTTGAATGATAAATGTTAGAATAACAGTTTGAAATCCCCCGATCGAATAAGAAATACCTTCTGTCGGCGTCATATAAAAATCGTGACAATTTGTTAATGTTCTTGGTGGGATTGCATAACAGCTCTTGAAAATCATGTTTTTTTCTATGAATATTGTTTTATTTTACATAATGAAAACGGCCCGTTTGAATTTAATTTCCTGCCCAAAAGCATATAAACTGAATTCTCCTTTTTATCCTTAAAAATAATATTTGTTGTGACTAAGTAAGTAACGTTAAAACAACTCTCAAAATCCCCACAAATATTACCGGTCCCCATCATGAAGACCAGTGTTTAGGAACCAGATCCGTTGGATCGGCAACATTTTGGCTTCATGGATTCGAATCCGCAAAAATATGCGGATCCTACGTCAAAATATCAGCCAAAAACTACCAAAAATACTGTTTTACTCTGAAAGCCCATATCTGAAAAAAGAGAGTTTATAAAAATTTCCTGATCTCTGAATGGTTCATCAAGTTTTAGCATAAAACTAAGCGAAAAAAAGAAAGAATTTTTTTTGACGATTCTAGTGTTCATGACCGGGGTCCGGGTCCATTTATTTCCTGTGCGGATCCAGGATCCGGATCTGCATCCGCATCAAAATTAAATGGATTCCAAGCACTGATCAAGACATCAATATTATTTATAATTTAATTATCATTAAATAATTTATAAATTGTTTAGGTGGGAATGCATTAACTCCTCCTGATAGCCCTGGATCTCCTAGACATAGGCTTTCAGAGCAGAGAACAAACTTCAGGAACATAATAACATTACTTGAAGATATTTTACGGATGTTGTTATGCACGATCAGCTCAGATTTCTGCAGACCAAGGTTGTTTAATTCGGTTGATTACTCTCGATGCGCTCCAATGTACGGAAAATGTCGTCTCCTAAGATACATATATAAAAACCTAATATGACGTCACTGATAATAGAGACGAGAGCGGCGTCATATGAGGTCATCAACTATTTATCTTAAGAGACGACATTACACGTATATTGGATCGCATCGAGAGGTACAAACTTACCAACCTTATTATACAACCTTGCTACGGACTGATGTTTGACTTGTTATTCATTTTTTTAATTATTCATGCATAATGCTGTACTTCTGTATGTAGATTATTTAACATTGAACAAATTAATATTTTCCCACTATTTAGTATTTACACTCAAAACTTCATTAACTGCCTGACGGTTCGTCAGGCAGAAATTAGAACTGTAGTAACCAATAAAGATTGATCTGTTCATGAAAATTTTCTTTAAAACGACAAAAATATATGTTGCAATGTGTTTTACATAGACGAGCTAACTCTACAGTCAACGGGGGAATTAACCCCGACAAGGATATATACGCTATTCCTTCAAGGTAATCTTACTTTTAGATTTCGGATATACTGTGAGACCCATAAAACTGTGGAATAGAAAGGAAGTTTTTAAGCGATAAACTGCGTATTTCATGTTGCTATAAAGTAAATTGTTATATCATCAGCTTTAAAACAACATAATAATTAAACTTGGTATGTATTAGGTGTATACCGCACAATTGCCGTAATTAATGTTTATTAGAGTATCTAAAACCAATACTTGACTCCAAAAGTTGTCTTCCATTCCACAGTTTTCTTAGTCTCACAGACTAATATAAAAACAATTTTTTCTCTATTTACGATAATAAGTTTTAAGTTTCATAAGACTGGACATGAAATCTATCTATTTATATACTTTGCTTTTCTGCCTTTGTGTTCAGGGGCGGATACAGAGGGGGCGGGGGGACATTCACCCCCCCCCCTAAATTTGGAATTTTTTGTTCCTATTTTTAGAATAGTTTCTCAATAGCATGCTTAAAGGAAACAAACCCTAGTGCAAAACAGGAAAAATATCTGTCTTAATAAACTATAATGTGTGAAAAGTTAAAAATCTAGTTTGTTAGTCTTTAGTCATTAATTTTGACTCTTTTTGAGTCTTTTAAGTCAAAAAAAAATTTCGCCTGCGCCGCGATTTTTGTTCCTAATTATGAATTTTTTTGTTCCTAAAAAATCTTGCCCCCCTCACTTAAATCCTGTATCCGATTTGTTTGTATCCGATAAACGTCAAAACGGCTGAACCGATAGAGGCCAAATTTTTTGTGGGACATTAATTTTTTTTATATAAAATCCGCGAACTTTGTAAAATTTTGAAAATCGCGAAGAAGTATTATTTAATTCGCAAATTTTTTTGTTATTGTTTTATATTGTTCTAAGAAAAGGTGCTCACAGATAGAGCAACAATTAAATAAAATAGTATATGAGCGCAAAGTGCCCTAAAAGCCTAGTTTTTTATATATTTGAAGAAGTATCTTAAATAGTAAAAAATTTATTTTCTTGTCTGTATTTTTTTCTCCACCGCTCTTTCGGTCTCACCAGGGAAGTAGTTCTATTTCCTAGCCTAGTTCTACAACTCCTCTTTATTTAGTACTTATGATATTTATTTGTTGTCAAATATTTTACGAATGTATTTATTGTTCAGGCCGGGTCCCGGGAACTCTCAAAATAATGTTTATTTTCTCTCAATTGTTGATGTTTTAACCCACTACGGAATGAAGAAGGCCGCGGCAAAGGTAAAATTGTATTTTTAATTATTATTAATTTTATGTTAACTTTTTTATCTCTTTTACTTGCACTCCGCGAACGGCGGGTTTGCCGACGCCCCTAGTTCCCTATAACGTGAAGCTATCAGGGTGTTATGAATAACATAACGGGTTTTTTGTTGAAAGACGTTAATCAATAAACATCCACCGTTTGACAGCTTGTAAATTTAGAAATTATAATCATACACATTTCATTATTTGGAATATGAATTATTTTTATTGACAATCTTATTTTCATCGCACCGGTAAACTGATAAAGGGTTGAAAACGGAATTCTATAAACAAAATTAATTGAAACTTAAAAAGATCCACGCACTGCAGATGATAGATTGCTTCAAATTTTTACTACAATGGGATTTTGAATTGAATTTTTTTTTTGAGTGGGGGGCTGGTTTTTTATGACAACCCTGACAATAATGATATAACTGCCATATCTAATACTGTTTTATGGACAATCTTATTTTCATCGCACCAGTAAACTGATAAAGGGTTGAAAACGAAATTCTATAAACAAAATTAATTGAAACTTAAAAAGATCCACGCACTGCAGATGAAAGATTGCTTTAAATGTTTACTACATAAGGATTTTGAAGTGGATTTTACTGGGGTTTTTTTGGGCTGGTTTTTTATGCCAACCCTGACAATAATACTGTTTTATGTAGGCGGCTAAAACCATGAAGTACGGGAGTGGAGTGGAAGGTACTTCTATCATAATTATATTCATTATTTACATCTACTTAACAGAGAAGTTCAGGGAGTTTTACTTTACCAGGGGTTCTCAAGATCAGTTTTACTTTACCAAGGGTTCTCAAGATCAGTTTTACTTTACCAAGGGTTCTCAAGACCAGTTTTGCTTACAAAACATACAGAGCGCAGGCAACGCGTTAAGTAACATTTTGAACTTCACGAAAAAGTAGTTTTTCACAATTTCATAGTTTTTTTCATGAAATTTCGCAGTGCGGGCAATTATTTAACCTTATTTCCCAAGGGACGCTAAGTGACTTCTCTGATAGGAAAATTATTGGTTGATAATTTTATAAACTCTGTAAATTTCGAATTATATCAGATTTATTGGAATAAAGGGAAAATATAAAAGCATCTTCGAAAATGTGAAAACCATTTTGAATTCTTGATTTCCCCGAGATGGACTACTACGTAATTGCAAGTGACTACATTGATAAAGTGGCATGTTCTATTCACAACGGTTTTGTTTAAATTAGATGTTCAAGATTTTATTTTTAAATAGTTATTTTTTATACCTTGGGAATCCACTTTGCCTTGAATCAAATTATTCTTATAAAAGTCGACAAACCCAACTTATTTTAAATCTAGCAAAGAACAATGAACATTCCCGTGGTACTAACGAATTATCCTATAAAAAATAAGATGTTAATGAGTAATACTCTGACATACAAACAGACAAACAGAGATAACTTCTATATATATAGATCAGATTAAGATATCAATACTTTCCTGATGAGGTATTTATTTATTCTTTTATTTCAGGCATATCAACAGTTGAACCGGAGCAGTACGCTAAACGATTCATTGCATTCATCGCTGAAGCGATCGAGTAACTGGGGTCTATTGTGAACATTTATATATTGAGTAACTGTGGTCTATTGTGAACATCTGTACATCGAGTAACTGGGGTTTATTGTGAACATATATAAATTGATTAACTGGGGTCTAATGTGAACACATATATACTAAGTAACTAGGATCTATTGTGTACATATATGTACCTTGAGTAACTAGGTTCTATTGTAAACATCTGTACATTGAGTAACGGGTGTCTATTCTGAACATCTATATATTAAGTAACTAGGGTCTATTGTAAACATCTATATATTGAGTAACTAGGGTCTATTGTGAACATCTATATATTGAGTAACTAGGGTCTATTGTGAACATCTGTATATTGAGTAACCGGGTCTTTTTTGAACATACACGTCATGAGTAACTGGGGTCTATTCTAAACACTTGTATATTTAGGTCATTCTAAAGCGTATAGTGTACAGTACAGTATACATAGAGTAAAGTATAAAGTGTACTTTAAGAGTGTATAATATAACAATTTACTCAGATTTACTGCACAACTATTATTGAGTAAATATGGAGTAAAGAAATAACTTCCTCTGAAGAATGTAAAAGAAATCAAAAAAAAAAGTTTCCCTACAATTGAAACATGTATTTACTTGATATTCAATATTTTCTTTGTTAAAAATTCGCGAGCGAAGGGTTGTTGTTTTAGTGTTAATGATACAAATTCTGTTGTGAATAGATAAGATTTGTGTTGTGAAATATCAAATAAATATGTTTAGCAAATGGAAAATTTTTGCATAATAACCTGTTCAAGTTTTTTGCCGGTTTTTTTAAGTGGGTTAACATATTATGAATTAGAGGTTCTATTCTATTTTATGTTGAATTCAACAAGGTTCATGTATTTTGTATTGTTCACTGTGTAGTGTGTAGTGAATGGTCTTGTATTTAATTCTGTAGATAAATTTACTAAAATGTATTTTGTATTGTTCACTGTGTACTGTGTAGTGAATGGTCTTGTTTTTAATTCTGTAGATAAATTTACTAAAATGTATTTTGTATTGTTCACTGTGTACTGTGTAGTGAATGGTCTTGTATTTAATTCTGTAGATAAATTTACTAAAATGTATTATTATTATTATCAGACAGAGTTAAAGTTTATTGGCTAGCATTTTAGTTCTTCAAAAATCAGACAAAAAAATCTATTTTGATTTTTGAAAAGAGCTTTATCCCCCCACCCCTTTGCTCTCCATTTTAACCTGTATTTAGATAAATCAAAATGCTATTTATGACGACAAAATTTGCAAGACATTTACAGTGATGTAGCATTCACTAAAATCTTACAACCGTTTTCAAATAATTCACATTTACACTAAGCAATGCACAGAAAATATAATAGGAATGTACATGATATGTTTTTAATAATATTGTGTACATTTTAATTATAAACTTTAATAATTTTAAAAATAATTCCCAACGCTTACAATACGGAAACTTTAAGGTTATCAAACACATTCATATCGCAAGAAAAAAAGATCGTAATTTTAATTACACCTTCAATTGAAGAGTGACATAAACAACATAAAGACTGTGAATTGTTTATGGCATTCCTTTTGTACAGATGTACTTAAAGTAACAGTAATAATTCCCTTTAATAAAAATTAAATGTTTACAGTAAAGTCAAGTCTATTCAAAATCTGAATTATGTTGTTAACAATTAATCATTCCATTTAATGCAAATTTTTATTTTAGTTATTACTTTTCTCGCTTCAAGAATGCAATGGAAAATAAATATTTTTTTTTAAAACCCAGCTTATTTTGCAATTGCATCCATGTCTAAAGTAATTGACTTATCATATTGCTTATTAATAAAAGAAAATACTCATCATTTCTTAACTTTTGTATTACTATTTTATTTGATAAAGAATGTTGCTAAACATGTATTTTGTTCTTAATATTGTTTAAATCTGTGTTCATTTCTCAAATAATCGCTTTATCATTAATGCTTTTAACCTTTTATTGTATATTCTAGGGCACAAAAATCTCAAAGGCTTCTCTGTAATGTAATTTATAAATTGGAATTAAAATTTAAATCAAAACTTTAAAAATGCTGCTTGAAAAGTCAAGAACCTAAAGATTAAATGATCAATAAAAGAAAAATTGGGAATTACCTTATTAATTCTTTTGGAGAGAAAAATTGCGCAATTATCTTGAACAGTTTCAATTAGTTCGCGCATTAACTATCAAATGAGACCTAACTCAAGTTATTAACATTCAATTATATCAATATGCACACTGTTCCTGGCTCTGATCAGAATTTTTGTTCTGATCTTTAATTCTGGTTTTGTGACATTATGTAAATTGTAAACCCATCGCTATATTAATATAATAAGTTGGAATTTTCTAAACCTTGAATCTTAAAATCCACCTCAATAATCAGGTTAACGCATATCAAAAATGTACTGAATTTAATTCCGATTTTACTGTTTCAAGGTTTTCTAAAAAAAATCCAACCACGCTTTTTAATCTTATCATTCTTGTTAATAATAATTATATCAATATTTTCTACAGCACACGACAATATGAAAGAAAATAATCTTCTCTCTATCTATCTCTCTATCTTGAATATTTCAGACCTGAATATAATGATTATCCCTATCAGATGCTTCACCTGTGGAAAGGTAAGAACTTCAGTGGGAGAAGAGGGGGGGGGGGGGTCAGTTTTGGCCGTAAAAATGACAGAATTTAAATGGTTTCTAGACCGAAGTTTTCATTGTATCTGCAAGGCTTTTAGAGGACTAAAGATGTGATTTCAAATGGTCCTATATTTACAGAATGACCGAGATATTAGTCGTTTTCTGTAAAAAAAATGATTATTTTAGTTGTTTTCTGTGTTTCAAGGACTTGCATTTATGCTAAGTACGTTGGTAAACAGATAAAGGTTTAAATGTAAATTTAAATCACTCCCAAAATGGAGGGACACTTGAAGTTGCATCTTCAATGATATAATGATGTTAAAGCGTACTTGGTAATTTAAGTACTTTAGAAACTAGTAAAGAGAGTAAGTTTTTTTCATGTGGGAGGGGGATAATTTGTCCAGAAAATATATACCCGGACAATGTAATATATCAGGTTATCGGGAACAAATGGGAAGCATATCTGGGACTCCTGCAGGCTGAATACCAGGAGGGGGACGCACTTGATGCGTTGGGACTCAAGAGGTTAGTATGTCTAGTTGAATATATGAGTAGGACGCACTAGATGGTCTAGAACTTGAGAGGTTAGTATGTCTAGTTAAATATATGAGTAGGACGCACTAGATGGTGAAGAACTTGAGAGGTTAGTATGACTAGTTGAATATATGAGTAGGATGCACTATAGATGGTCTAGAACTTGAGAGGTTAGTATGACTAGTTGAATATATGAGTAGGACGTACTAGATGGTGTAGAACTTGAGAGGTTAGTATGTCTAGTTAAATGTATGAGAAGGACGCACTAGATGGCCTAGAACTTGAAGGATGGTATGTCTGGTTGAATATATGAGTAGAACGCACTAGGTGGCCTAGAACTTGAGAGAATGGTATGTCTAGTTAAATATATAAGTAGGACGCACTAGATGGTTTAGAACTTGAGAGGATAGTATGTCTAGTTTAATATATAAGTAGGACGCAATAGATGGTCTAGAGCTTGAGAGGATTGTATGTCCAGTTTAATATATAAGTACAAGTTTTTGTATTGTTTTCGTATAAATATGAGTTTTTGCTTTAAACAATCAACGATATTTAAAGGCAAGCTTTCTCATTTCATCCTGGCGTGACGTTTAATTATTACACCCAGTGTTGGTAGTTTTGCACCTCTGAATAATTATGACACTTTCCATACACGAATGCATTGATAAACACCTGCTAAACTTTAATATATAGTTAGATACGTTCTTAATTTAGCAATATTAGAAAAGAATCAAAAACTGAATTTTCAAAACTTTATTATTTAAAATATTTTAAAACTCAAGATTTAAGACCGACATACAGTAACCCCGGCCCCTGCAGTATCTCAATCCCGATGTCATGCATGGAGCGGACTCATGCATGGGGCGGACTCCCCATAAAGTTGTTTTAGCCATTTCAACACAACGTTCGACAAAAAAAGCAATGTTATGACATTTCCGATATTTATTAATGTATTTTGATTTGAAAAGCACACTACAAATTATCTATGTCTCGAGTAAATTTTAATGGTTTGATAAATTGAAAGGAAGACCACATTCAAGAGTAAATAATCTTTTTTGCCTTTACCTCCTTTAAAATACATTTAAGAACTAAATGTGTATTTAATAAAAGTCAAATAATAATTTGTAATGTTTAACATTGCTTTTTATGTCTAACATTGTGTTAAAATGGTTAAAACTTCAGGAGTCGAGTCCGCCCCATGCGATATTCCAACCATGCAGGACACTGGACACTTTTTAACTTGACACCGCGCCGGCTTAAAACTTCATTGGGTCATGTAGGTCCCATAATACAATCGGCTCAGTCTGTTCAATTTTCATTATATTTAGCAAGGATCACAAATATATATATATGAATAAAATGTTATAAGAAGATTGTTGCGTTTCAACTGATATATATATACCCCGGAGCGAGCCAAGCAACGTGCAGTACCGTCAAGCGGGGTGCAATTATACTCGGGCTTAAGCTTCCGTACATTCTGCCTCCTCCATCGTACGTAAACCTGGGGGTCGCGGGGTGCAATTCAAACTGCCCTTAAATATATATATATATTTATTGTCTCACATTTTATTGGGGAACTCGGGAAACCCACGGGAATGTTATTAGCTAAGGTTTGAGATCCAAAGTTGAGTAATTCAACTGTTAACGAGAAAAAATCGTAATTTACGACAAGGGGCGGGTAAACGGTTGGATTAACTATGACCCCCGTGGGTTCCCAAGCTAGTAAAAATATTAAAATGTTTAGATATTGCTGCAGACGAATGTTGCTGGGTCACGTTGATCTCATCGAGAAGCTTCTCAATTATTCACCTCTAGAGAAGAACGAGAAATAATTTAGGATTTCTCAAAATTCATTCAGATTCATTTTTTCTAATTTTTTCTTAATAAATACTTTAAATATCAACTAACACATTTCTTATTGAATTGTTTTTTAATTTGTGATTCTTTATGTTAAATTCTAAAGGTAAGTTGTAAAATTCATTTATTTATCTTGGTATTTCTTGCCAATAGAAACATTTCAAGTATTTTCCTAACAAAATGAATCAGTTATTTAGTTTGAGTTTTGCGTGAATGGCGACAATGTGTATAATTTTGAAATTTTTCATTGATTATTCGATTTGCTATTAAGAACGTAAACGTTCCAAGCAAAGTAGGGTTCGCTACCGCTGCCTTACTACGAATTATTATTTTTAACAATAGAAATTTATTGAAATTTAACTGAAAATAAACAGTCTTCTCTACACTGTATTAAATTACGGTTAACAGTGTATATAAAAGGATTAATGAGTGTCTTGTGGGTCTTATTGTAACTCTTTCCTGACAAACCAAACCAAAAAAAATAAAAAATATCATAGCTTAAATAATTAACTTTTTAAGGAACAGCCGACGTATATCCCTAGTTAAATAATTAACTTTTTAAGGAACAGCCGACGTATATCCCTAGTTAAATAATTAACTTTTTAAGGAACAGCCGACGTATACCCCTAGTTAAAAATGTACATTCCCGAGTCGAGTCCCGGTTTACCCTGTAAACCTTAGTTTGAGTAATAATTAGGAAGATAAAGTCATTTTTCTTTCTAAAAATTGTTCAAGTTTTATAAAGAAATTAAAATTTTTGTTAGTTCAGATAGAAGGAAGTGGATATCTTCTACCTTTTTTACTAGAAAAGTTTGGTGCTTTTGGTAATCATGCATGCCCCTCATAACTGGAACATAGCATGCACACTACACACTACACTACACACTACACTACACTACACACAACGAAAGGATTCATTTTCATTGTCTTGATAAAAAAATTTAAAGTTATTTTGATTTTTTTTAATATTATTGATTGATCAAGATTTTAGAAACTAATTTTGGTTGGTTTCCTGTGTTTCATCCTTTGTTCAGTTCTAGCATTTTCTGTAGCTTTCCAGTCAATATTTACTTTCTCCGTGGGCGTATCACCTGAACAAAAAAAGAGGGTTTATTTATGAAAAGGCAAAGTTTTTAAATAAATATTTGTTACAAAAATTAATTAAAGGGGTGTGACCGGTAATGTATGGTAGTTGAACGGAGAATGTATAGTATTGTGGAGAAATTTTTCAGGTATCATTTTAGACCCATGAGACGTTTTTACGGTGCATATTTGTTCAGCAAGAGTGCAAATTCTATCCTAAAAATCCTCGTAGTTTCTTCATTTTTGAGGGATGATTTTGAAAATCGGTTTTTAAAAAATTATTTAATAACGCAACGAAAATTGTAGTAAACATTCTACAGTAAACAAATTGGTTTTTTAGGAACAGGTTGATAAAAAACATTTACTTTCATCAAAAATAAAAGTAATATTATTCAGTTATTGGTTTCTGTAATGTCTCATTGTTCACAACCATTTTCTGTAGATTTCCTCGAATTTATTGAAAAGACTTTTGAAGAATTTGAAGAAATCTGCCATCAAATTCTTAACAAGAAAATTCAATTTAAGGATGAAAATGAAATGATTTATTCCAACTTTGATTTGTTGAGAAAAGAACCTGTCAAATCATTCGTTGGGATGTTTAGAAAGATGAAAATTTCAAAGCAATATTTATTAATACTTATTTTGACTCAAACTCTTAACTAAATGAATACAGAAAAAATATCCCGGTTTAAGAAAGTTTTAGATAGATATTTGCAATCATCCAGAACAAAAAGTTTTATCAAAAATTAAACTTAAAAAGTTTTAAAGAAGTTTTAAAAAATATGCAAAAAAAAATCATTCTGACACCCCTAGGCTTTGTACGCCAATATAATTCACCAAAACCATACTGCAGTCCTTCAATTATCATACAGGGAAATTTTCATCTTTCTAAACATCCCAACGAATGATTTGACAGGTTCTTTTATTTGAAAAATATGTTCCTAAACATCTAATTAGTTTACTTTAGAATTTTTTAAACATTTTTTGTCGTCAATATTTAATAATTTAATTAAATAATTGATTCTCATAACGTAACCACCAAAATGGGTAATATTGAAAGTCGACTTTGCTCTCAAACTCAGTAATTATACATCATGAAAACATTATATATGTCTCAAATAAATCCTTCTCCACAATACTACGTTCTTAGTACAACTATCATACATTGCGGGTCACTCCCTTTAAGTATGAAATTAAGTATATAGATAGTTAAGAATTTGTCTCAATACAAAACTTTCCTGTTGATCTTCAATAAATAAGAGTGTTTTCTTATAAGAACAAGACTCTGAAGAAAACTATTCAATTGTATCTTTTAAATATAATGCAAGGAAAGTTATTTCAGAGGTGTACGCATCTTTTGTACTGTCTCTGGGGGGGGTAATGTAAACTCTCAAGACGGATGTCACAGCCTGACATGGGATCCATCTTTCATATAAAAAATCAATAAAATACACTGGTCAAAGGAAACTATTATGTTAATTATCAAAATCATCAAATATAAATGCTTTTATCCTCCATGGATACTTAAAAAAACTGATACATCTATTCTCGTTTACAATTTCCGCCAAGAGAGAACTGGTTTTAATGTGTATGCTGAGTATACACAACTGCAATTAACTTTCCTTACATTATAACCTTGAGCTAGACCACAGTAAATTTTGTGAGCTTTAACACCTCTGTTGTTTAAGTCTCATTCTTTGTAAATTAACAATAAGATTACCATATCCGCTGGAGCTGGCAATACTCTCTCTTCTAGAGTATATATCATCAGAATCCAGGCTTTCTAGGTCCAGCCCTTCAATCAATTAATTCTTTATTATGCTGAAGATACAATTCTCCTAATCAATTTTTCAGACTTTCGAGATAATAGTCTTCAATCAATCAATTAAAAAAACTAGCCTAATCTTCAATCTACTGATAATTTTTTGACTTAAGATACAATTCTTCAAATAAAATTTTCAGACTTTCAAGATGACATTTTTTGATTAATAAATCAATTTTTCAGACTTACCAAGTACAGCCCTTCAATCAATTGATAAATTCTTTTTTCAGACTTTCAAGATATAATCCTTTAATCAATTAATCAATTTTTCAGACTTTCTAAGTACAAATCAATTAATATACAGATACATAAGATACAATCCTTTAATTAATTAATAAATTGGTTTTTCAGACTTTCAAGGTATAATCCTTTAATCAATTAAACAATCTTTCAGACTTTCTAAGTACAAATCAATTAATATACAGATACATAAGATACAATCCTTTATTTAATTAATAAATTGGTTTTTCAAACTTTCAAGATACAATCGTTCAATCAATCAATATATTTTACAGAAACAAGATAATATCCTTTAATAAGTTATCAGTTTTTCAGACTTTCAAAATACAACCCTTCAATCAATCAAACAGTTAAACCAACCTTTTATGGTCCAGTCCTTCAATCAATTAGTTAAAAGTTCAGAGTTTTAATATTTATTCCTTCAATCAATAGATTAATTTAAAAGTCCATTTAATCAATTAATCACTTAGTCTAGAGTATCAGGTTTAGTCTTTCAATCAATTTATCAAATAAAACTTGCTTTTAAGGATTAGTTCTTCAATTAATGAATCAGTTAAACCAGAGTTTCAAGGTTTAGTACTTTAATTTACATATTAAACAATTTTATCAATTTTTTAAGGTCCTTTAATTGATCAATTTAAGTATTGAACATTTACCTCCAGTGGCGATGAGATTACAGAACCCTCGGTCCTTTCCATATTTAGCATATATTCTAGGCTCACTAACCATTCTTACAGGTTTATCAACTATAATTATCATATTATCAAGGCGATAAGCCTAGTTTTCAAAAGACAATAATTTTTCTAGATTTTTGAAGATCTGGGGGAAAAAAGAAAAGTTATACATAAAAAGGCAGGTTATTTTATCCTTCTTCACAGTTCAGAATTTTTTTGTTTTCCTCCAAAAATGTTTTTTTTCCCCAATTCAGTGAAATGTTAACTTTATATAACACTATTATTTTGGTTCGCAGTGTTATAAAGTTTTTGGACAGAAATGTTGTCCCTCGCTGAGGGACAACATACGATCTAAAAGGGCGCGAGCCTTCAAGATATAGAGAAAATTTAGGTCCAAAAACTTTTTAGCATGTTTTGCCAAAATAATAGTGTTATAAGTAATTTTATGAAACATTTGTGTACTTGTCTTATTTCAATAGCTAATTCTAGATCAAACAAGCTTTGAAACAAAGCAAAAGTCAAAATACAAAGTTGATTTCAATTTAATTTTTATTTTAATTGAAAAAAATATTTTGGAAATATCTTAAAAATTTTTGGAGAAAATCCGGTAACCAAATAAAACTTTATAGGACATGTGCTATAATGTACAGCTAATTTAACATTTTAGCACGATGATTACTTTCCAGCACATTTATTATGAAATTCACAATGAAGTGGTTAATAATGATAAAACCCCTGACAATTTTGGCGCTCAATTAACATAACTAACTTTAAGAGAAAAATTGATTTTAATGAGGGGGGGTTATTTTTCAGAAAATAAACACCCCTGCCTAGTATTAAATTGAAAATGTACCTAGGCACACAGTGCACCATCCATTGACTTCTTTCATCTCGTAGTTTAACATCTTCCACTCCTTGGTGGTAGGGTTGTACACCTCTATAGTTGATAGGTCAGAATCCACACCCATGCCACCCACCACATAGATTCTAGGAAAGACAACTTTACCACAAATTTTGTATTCAAGTTAAGTATTCAGTTAAGTATTCTATATAGATGTTAACTTAATGACACATGTCTTTGTAATTAACTACTCCAGGACTCCTATTTGGAATGTTTGTAGGTGGAACATTACTCCAAGTGCACCTGTCTTATATAGTTAACCACTTCAGAACTCCTTCTTGTGATGTTCATAGGTGACACAAAACTCCTAGTCTACCTATCTAGTCTCTATATAGTTAACCACTCAAGGACTCATTCTTGTGATGTTCATAGGTGACACAGTACCACTCCAGGACTTCTTGTGATTTTTATAGGTTACACAGTACTACTAGTCTACGGTCTATATAGTTAACCACTCCAGGAGTCCTTTTTTTGTGATGTTCATAGTTGACACAGTACTTCTAGTCTACCTGTCTTTATAGGTAACCACTCCAGGACTCCTTCTTGGGATGTTCATAGGGGGGATAGTACTCCAGGAATCTGTACTTGGAGTGTATTTCTCCACACTGAAAGTATAAAGCAATTATGAAGATAAAATTATCAATACAATTGGTCTATGACAAGTGACCACCTCTATTTGGTTTAAATACAAGTTCAGTATATTCTGGCATTCTCTAATTCATTTAAACATTTTGTGGAATATCACACTTTTTAAATGTTTTTTTTTCAAAAGATTAGATTTGAATTTCAGTTTTCATGTTTATTGGAAAGCAATTTAGACAGTATGAAATATGAATATGAGATTCAAACTGACCTCATTAAAATTTATTCATTTTCCCAAATTTCTGGATTATATTTGACAAATTTTAGAGATAGGGGAAATCAAGGTTATAATGCAAGGAAAGTTAATTGCAGTTGTGTATACTCTGCGTACATATTGAAACCAGTTCTCTCTGGGCAGAATTTGTAAACAAAAATAGATGGATCAGTGTTTCTTTTAGTTTAGTATCCGAGGAGGTTTACAGCACTTAAGTTTAATAATTCACATAATAGCTTCCTATGGACAAAATATTTCATTGATTTTTTATGCGAAAGATTGATCCCATGTCAGGCTGTGACATCCGTCTTGTGTTTACATTACCGCCCAGAGACAGTACACTGCAGTACAAAAGATGCATTATAACCTTGGGGCAAATTAGAACTTGACTTAAGTTTTGAAACAGATGATAATAAAGAGCAAGGTTGTTTATTAATGTTAGAACAATTGGAGAAAAGCTCCCCTCTCCAGCAACGTTGTCACCATCTGCCGCTAATAATCCAATGAGGATTTTAAGTGTCCATTGGTATGAAGAAGAAATTTGTAGTACATTGGAGTGCATCCAGAGTATTTAACCATGTATTTAACCCAGCAAACAAAAACTTTGTTAAAATCTAGTAAAACTTCGCTAATGCCTTTCAGAAGTGGAATTTTCACCTGCAATAGTCATGCCATATCTGGCTTTAAACTTGACTTTTCAACAAGTTGGGGGTTGTTAAAATCGATGTCAACTGGATGATTTTTGGATGATTTCTGGATGATATTTGGGTAATATCTGGATGATGAGAAGTGGAGTCTTAATCGGATATTAAAGTGGAGTTTTTTGCTCCATCTTTGGGTTAAAACTTGTCTTTTCATCAAGTGGGGGGTTGTAAAAAATATCGACCGGGTGATTTTTGGATATGTGGGTGATATTTGGATGATATTTGTATGATATGTGGGTGATATTTGGACGATATCTGTGGTTGATATATGGATGATATCTGGATGATATGTGGGTGATTTTTGGATAATATGTGGGTGATATCTGGATGATATCACCCACATATCATCCAGATATCACCAATCCAATCTGGTATTCTTGTTTAAAAATTCACCACATCATCATTCCTCCATCTGTATAAATTTAAATTAACTCGCATACATACATGCAGAACACTTCTGTAACAATTACATATTCAATATATGTTTTACTGTATTCACTTACTGTTATACCTGATACAAGACTGTCGAAGTGGAACTTCTTTTTATCAAAAAATCAAGAATTTACTGACATTGATTCTAATGATAACATGGATTTACTCCAAAATGAAACTGGGATTCAAAAAGTTTAGTTTAAGTTGAGTTTTTGCACCCAGATTTTAACAAGTTATTGACTTGGTTAAGACTAGGATTTAAAAAATCGAGTTTAAGTCGAATTTAGGCACCCAGATTTCACCCAGTTGGTGACTTGAGTTTAAGTGTGAAGTTAAAGTCAAGTTTAAGTCGATTTTTGAAGTTGATATTTGAAATCCAAGTTTTCACCCTGACTTGTTAAGAACTGGGATTAAAAAAGTTATGTTTAAGTCAAGTTTATGCATCCAGATTTCATCCAGTTGGTGACAGGAGTTTAACAGTGGAGTTTAAGTCAAGTTAAAGTGGAGTTTGAAGTGGATATTTGAACTCCAATTTTTCACCCTGACTTGGTAAAAACTGGGATTCAAAAATTCGAGTCTAGGTCGAGTTTATGCACCCAGATTTCAACCAGTTGGTGACTTGGTAAAAACTGGGATTTAAAAAGTCGAGTTTAAGTCGAGTTTATGCACCCAGATTTTAGTGCTGTTTCTACCTGTTAAGGTACTTGTTGCTAAGATTATCATATCCTCCAACTGAATATATTTCTCCATTTACAACTGCCTGACCCTGAAATTGATTAAATTTAATTTTTATGATCTTTTTGAAGCAACAGTATCTAGATACAGTGTGCCCCAATAAACATGGGAATTCAGTGGCGAATTTGAAATCGTCTTAGTCAAGAATTAGCATCCTAATAACTGATTTCAAAAGCCATAATATTATTATGTCTGCTATAGTTTATTTTGTGAAAACAGTAAATTTCTGTAAAGATTTGCCTATAATCTCTCTGCAAGATGAACAGTAAAGACTAGTGTTTCCATTTTTCCAGAACAAAACTTCCATTTTGGAAATGGAATGATCAAAAAATTTGTTGCGTAAGCTGGAATTCCGGGATAATTCCGAATCAAATAGACACCGGAATATTTACAGTTTATGTGATGTAATCCAGAATTTTTTTTACGGAATTGAAACCGTAAAATTTCCGCTACATTTAAGACCTCACCAGCTGCCAGTCTCTACGCAGGCATCCCACAGATATTATTTTTCTGGATCTACAAAATTCAGTCCCCCTCTCTCTGTTTTGGAATTTCACAGAGCATTGAGTGCAACAGAGAATGGCAACTGCCTGTTTATTGGTACACCCTATACAACTGAGATTGCAGAGTTTATGTAAATCAAGGGAAATTAAAGAGTTGTTTATCAATTTACATGTTTATAGACACCGCTTTGTTAAATAGTTATTTTTTTTAATTGATAATGGTTTCTTTTATCAAAGAATTTTTGAATACCTGAGAATCTCTTTTGCTTAAAGATTTTGAAGCTTCACTAAACTTCCCTGTTTCTGGATTCCAAACCTATTTAAACTTGATTTACAATGTTGTAAAATAAAGTACAAGAAACTCCTGAGAGCAGAAGGGAGGGGGGGGCGGGTTCTAGAAAAATATACCCCTGTTCCAAAGTTTAGTTTTTAGTAAATAGTTACATTTTGGTATTTAACTTTAGAAACTTTCTCTTTTAAAGATTCAGACAGAATTTATTATAAAATGCAAATATTATCCTGTTTTCAAAATTTGAAAAAAACTTGGAGAAGATATTGAGATGAGGGGGGGGGGTTACTATAAGACTTTACTCTTGTAGACACTGCATTGGAGGTTTTCTGGATTTTTTAAAATGCTGTAGTTGAAAATTCTTCACTAGAGCAGTCTTCAATATTCTTATAAATCTAACCTCTGTAGTTGAAAACTCTCAAAAAGGCAACCTCCAATATTTTTGTAATACTTACCTCTGTAGTAGAAAACTCTTCTCTAAGGCAGCCTCCAATATTTTTATAAATTATACCTCTGTGGTTGAAAACTTTTCACAAAGGCAGCCTCCAATCTAGAGCTGTTATACATCTAACCTCAGAAGTTGAAAACTCTTCACTAAGGCAGCCTCCAATATTTTTATAAATCTTACCTCTGTAGTTGAAAACTCTTCACTAAGGCAGCCTCCAATGCTGTATACCTTTCCATTCACAGCAGCAGACCCTAAGAAGCTTCGTCCCTGGACCGGTCAACATTTAAAAAAAGTGTTTTTGGACAAAAATTGTTCTGTTTTATGCTTATTTTGTAATCGAATTATTTGTATGGGGAGGGGTAGAAGAAAGGAGTTACCTGAGGGAAAAAAATATAAATGAGTTCTTTTTTTGCGGGGAAAATTGCACATTTTTCAAGAGTATGAATTTTTTATATCAAATGTGTCCGTTCCTCTTTCATGGTCCCTGCCACCTTCCAATCATGAAGGATTTTACTATTCTCATCTAATTCAATCATCTCCATCTCATACAGACCAGGACCAAAGTTTGCATTTGCCTTAGCTGATCCTCCAGTCACAAAAATCTAAACAAAATGGCAATGCTTTCTTGTTGAAAATGAGATGAGAAACTTGTAAGATGACTTGACAAAGAAATATTGAAAAATGTGGAATAGAAAATTACTAGAAGACTTAATGGATGATTTTTAATTTTTGTTTTTATTTTGTTATCATAAATTTATTAAATGAATAACTTATTCCGAATAATTTAAGTTCAAGAGTTGCATATATTAGGGATCAGCAATTTAACATTTTTCAAAGCGTGATTTTTGGNTTAATATTTGGTTTGGTGATATACCTGGTTTCCGTACGTAGTTACTCCGTGTGCTACTCGACAATGTCATGTTTCCCCCTTAATATTTGGTTTGGTGATATACCTGGTTTCCGTACGTAGTTACTCCGTGTGCTACTCGACAATGTCGAAGACTTGGAAAGAAATCCTGAGGGAGAAGATATATTTATAAGTTAATTTGGAGATATAAAAACTTTATTCTTGCATGGAGTTCCTAAGACACCCAACTTTTTGTTAAACAAATGATGTGTTAAAAATATTATTATCTTCTGCTTACAGTGATAACCAGAAAATTCTAGAATATAAAGATAACTTTTAGAATCAACTTATAACTTAAAAAATATCAGCAAGCATGAGACACACAATTGTGCTGTATAAACACACCCATTTCACTAAATTGGATGATTTTAAAAATGTCTAGTAAAACTATTTGCGTCGTAACAAGATCAAATACACTTCAGAGTCCGCTCTCCCCATAAAAATGTATGAACAGTGCTTGCACTTTGGAGGACGATAGTTTGGCCGCCAGATGTCTCATCATGCTGAATTCTTATCTGATAGATAGATAACTCAGTCGACCACAATTAAGAGACGTCATATGGTCGACCAATGTTATGATAAAAGGAATGGCCTCAGTTTTGGTTTATTGTCGTCATCCTATTCAATTGTTTTCTGGTTATCACTGCATACCTTCCACTTTTATTTTTCTAAATCAAAATGATTTCATTTTACGACATTTTTTTAAAGTCTTTTTTCGGATTGAAATAGGATAAATTGGTGGCCCAAAACTGAAGAAAATTACATGAAAAGATTAAAAAATGAAAATTTCTCCTTCCTTCCATTCATCTTTTTCTAAATCATACTGATCCACGGATTTAGACTGAACACCACCTAAATCAGAACACTTTTAAATCAAACTCATAGCCAAGCAACCTTTTAACAGTTTTTCATGTGACGCTAAAGTACGTGTGGTCCAAAATTGCAAAGTTTATTTTGTTTTATTTTTTGAATTTGTAATATGCCGTAAAAATCCTTGAATTGAAATGCAGATAAATTATCCATTTGTTGTCTACTGGTGGAGGATCTTTATTTCAATTCACAAAATTAAATAATGCTCTATCTAAGGTATTGTAATCTGAAAAAGAAAAGAATGAATTATATTTTTATTACAAACTAACCAATTGTGTAGAGCTTTCCATGAAGACAACACATTGAAGATCCAAATACATAACCTAAGAACATGATTTGTAGAAAAAAGTTAGAATTTACCAAATTTAATCGCGGGTCCAACCAATATAAGATTACAAAGTAAAAGTATTAAAATATTCATGGAGTAGAGTTTCTTGTTATGAATTACTAGATCGAAGAAACTTTTGGGAAATCATATTTGAATCCTAAGATTTTTCATTTCATGTGCCTTCCCCCCCCCCCCCTTCTCTTCGGTACAGTACCTGGTTTTTCTGTAATAATAAACGAGTTCTCTTCTTCAAAATCATAACATTCAATCAGCTTCTCAGCATAGGACAACGCAGCCAGCAGTTTTGGCCATCTTCAGAAGAATATTAATGAAGTGTTAAAAATGTTTATATTGAGTAAACGATTCCTTACTTCTGTAATCTTTAATGTATTTCAATCCTCTCACAGATTAACGTCGGGGAGAAGAAATAAAATAAATGGATGTATTCATGTATCATGAAAATTATTTGTTTTCCCTTATTCAGTTAGAAAGACCTAAATACCTAAAACACTGACTTATAGGATAAAAATTAATTTCGAAACATCGACAGAAAATTTGCTGAAATATTCATGGGATTAGGCTGTATCTCTGTTTTTATTAGATTCTAAACGTAAAATTCTTATTAGGGGCTTAATTGACTTCCATGGATATTCATATTTATTTTTAGGTTATAAATATATTAAGGTTTGAATTCCAAGTAGTAAACTGATAAAAAGATAATTTTAAAAGAAAATTAGTTATCTTTAGCTAAAATTATAACATATTTACATACTTTTCAGTATAGGTATAAAAAGTACATATTATGCAAGAATAAAAAGCCAAATTTATCCGACTAATATTGTTTGCTCGTCTAGCATTATTTCACTCTCCATACAGATTTTAAATTGAAGAAAGGAAAAATACGAAAACTTTTTTTCTCCTCGAACGAGGTCGATCATTCATTCAAAATAAATCGCCCGTAAAACTGCTTGATGAAATATCTAAACGGAATGGGATGCGGGCATCATGTGAAAATTTAGATTGATTTAATATTTACTATTTTTCATTAAATATTCAAAACATTTTTTCGTGTATAAAATGACTAAATTTAAAAATAAAAATTGAAGTTAAAAAATTTTATTTCTAATTTGTTCCTAAAACAAATTTATTAATTATTTGTTCATTATTTAACTAGTTTGGGAACCCAGCGTTGCCCAGGGTACTCCCGCGCTTTGTTGATTTTACTGCAGAAAACTAAATTTTCGCTATAAAAGTTGACCAACTCAGTTTAGAATCTTAAAACCAAGCTAAAAACATTCCCCTGGCTCTCCCGAGTTCCCCAACCAAAATTTGAGGCAAATCAGCTCAAGGGTGTCTGAGTTATGATCGGACAAACAAACAGACAAAAAGAGATATTACAACTATAGTATATATATTTAGAAGAAGATTATACCTGGAAGGTTTTTCATTTTCTTTCCAATAGTTTATCTTTTCCTCGTAGCTAAATAAAAATTGGAATATTTGTATTCTAAAGTAACTGATAATTTTATAATCCCGAGATCTTTTCAATCCGTTGGTGTTGCTACACTATTTGATTTAGCAGAATTTATGATTTGAAATATCTTCAGGGTGTCCCAAAAAACATGGGAATTCAATGACGAATTCGATTTCGTCTTTGTTATGAATTAACATTGTAATACCTAATTTCAAAAGCCATAACATTATAATGTCTGCTAGAGTTTATTCAATGAAAACGGTAGATGGTTGTAAAGATGTGTCATAATGTCTCCGCAAGATGAACAGTGAAGAAGGACAAGTTTACACTGTTAGTATACTGCAATTTTCTTGTTTTATAAAGTACAACCGTATGCAGTCAAAACATAAACAAACAAAATCTGAACATAGCAGACAGATTACAGCTTTCACTATAGTGAATCAAAGAATTATTTATAAAGACGATATTGAATTCGTCACTCAATTCCCATGTTTATTGGGACACCCTGTACATCAACAGGGCATGGAGTAAAGTTACAAATTTACACTATTTGATTTAGCTGAATTTAAGAGTTGAAATATCTACATCAACAGAACATGGATGGATTCCAAAATAAGACTATGAGGAGAGTAATCAAATCCAGAATACAGAAAACTCTGAAATAGGAAGACGACTTTATAGTGTATTAGATTTTGTCACAGAGTAAAAATAGTCTTACTAGACTCTTAATAAATCACAACTATTACGTAAATTTGGTCTGTTTACACTGCTCAATTACTGCGTCTAACGCTCAATGGAATATTTAAAGTCATATACTTAAGTCTAAAAATCTTCTTCGATCAAGTTCCTATTTCACTGCAGACAAAATATTTTAATATTTACCTCATATTAAAATATTCCTCAGCCTTCTCCATAATCCTAAAATTAAAACTTCTTGTTAAACATTTTTTGGGGGAATTAAAGAAATTTGCAGAGTTGTGTTCGTTTTTAAAGTTTCTCTGTATTTTGATTGTCTGAATTGTATGGTTTGTTAGTATCCAATAAACGTAAGAACAGTTGGTTTTATGAATTATGAAAAAAAGGTTTGCAACTTAAATTCCGTTATGTTTACGAGAAAAAGAGGCGCGTACGTACTAGCCTAGTTCATTTACGAAAAAATTGAACAAATAGCTTTAAGAACATAGTTAAGCTGTAAATAATTAAAATGGGATGAAAAATGTTAAAAATGGAAAGAAAAATTCATTTTCCAATAACATAAAACGGAAACAAAATTCATTTTTCCCATTTTAGAAACTGACCTGGCACACCGTTTGTCCTCCATAACAAAAGGATCATTGATAGTATCTGAGTAGTATTTGGGAGTTCTGCAAGGTTCAATATCAACCCAGATATAAAGAAGTTTGTGAAGTGTTTTTATTTTTGATTAAAGCTCTAGGAGGATCATGAATATTTTTCTAGTTTGACATCTCACACTGCTTATATCTCCGGGGATATTAAACGCACCAAAAAGGCAGACCACATTTTGAAAATGGCAGGGCTAGGGCTATTTTTTTATTATCGTTCAATCAATCATATCTGAATATTTGTAAAATAAGATTTACAAATGAATGCCGTATAACATAAAAAAGAAACTGATATGAATTTTTAAACGGAAGTCATAAATTCATACTGACTTTTATCATGACTTAATAGAATAGAAAACAACTTTTTGAGAACAATCTAAACGTAACATGCCTAAAGTTGCATATATACATATCTTTATATATTCAACATCACCCCCCGGCCCCACCTCTCTTACATAACAAGATGTTTTTTTGATTAAATTTTGCAATTTAAAAATTCAATATTTTGTGAGAGACAGAAAGGTCAGCTATAATTAACTTTAAACGTATTTAGGCGGATATTTTAAAACTTTAAAATTTTAGAATTAGAATTGACATTTTCCTTATTAGGGGCCACTGAATCTCCTAAAAATAAATTGAACATCAATTTCATTAAAAGAGTTGAGATTTTTATACTTTAGCAGTCTGTCATATATGCCAGGAAATTTGTGTACATATTTTACTGTAACGATTAATACTTGCTTATTGTTTTATGTAAACAATAACAAATTCTGAAGTGCGGGCCCGTACAATGCTTGTTTCCGATTTACAGTTTAAACTGTACTATCACGTGAGAGTGAAATGTAAAGAAACCATATATCCCCTCCCTTTGGTATTCTTATTCTTAAATGCAATTTTACATCAAACTTAAGTTAATTTTATTTTGGATTAATTCCTACCAGTGGGTTCGTTCTTCTGAAGTTCTGATAAAAAGTACTGAGGCCGAATTTAAAGAATTTAAGTCGCGGCTTAAATCCGCCAAAACCCGGTTTAAATTGAGCACCGGCTTAAATATTGAAACATTTGATACAATTTTAAGTGAAACCAACCATAATTAAGCCGCGGCTTAAATTTAAACCGCAGCTCAAATTCTTTAAATTCGGCCAATGGACTCCTTATTTGTAAGTTGTAACCCACAAAATTTAGCGAATGCTAAATGTAATAATATTGCTTATGATAATGTAAGATCAAAAGTGAATAATTTAATATTAAATAATTCCACATAAATGGAGTTAATGACTTTTTTCCATGAACAGTTTAATTAGTTAATTACATGTACTTACCTTGAATAAACTGTGTAAGTGTTCTCTTCTTGTACATGAATCAATAAGAACCCAGGTCATCACTGCATCATACACCTGCTCTTCATACTGTACACTAAACATTATTGTTTATGTACATTGTACATGAATCAATAAGAACCCAGGTCATCACTGCATCATACACCTGCTCTTCATACTGTACACTAAACAAAAATGCTTATGTACAGTTGTGCATGAATAAGAACGTTGTACACCTGATTCTCAGAGATTATGTACAATATACATGCACACGGATCCCAAAACTTAAGACAGGGTATCGTTATGAAAACCAGTTATAAAGCCCGGGTTTTACGAATGGGGTTAGGCAGTTTTGTGGATATCAATATTTTTGTTATGAAATAGTTTTTTATTTAGTTTCTTCATATTCTCCATTTGTCGAATATCTTAAATCAAAATCTACAAAATTTTAAGACCCCAAAAAAGGAAACTCGAGAATTTCGTTCAACGATACACTTTTAAATTTCGGGCTCCCGAGTTTTCTTTTTTGGGTTTTAACATTTGTGTAGATTTTGATTTAAGAGATTCGAAAAAAGGAGAATATAAACATACTGAAAAAAATAAAACTTCATTACAAAAATATTGAAATTTACAAAACTGCTTAGCCCCATTCGTGAAACCCTTGGTTTAAAATGGTTTTCATAATGACACCCTGTCTTAAGTTTTGGGCTCGAGTGTCACGGTAAATTCCGGTATTGGGCCGATCAGCTGGAGTAATTTGTACAATATAAAGTACACAGACTATATTCACTATATAAGTCAGTACAGTACATAAAAAAATTATCCCCTTCTATAGTATAAGATAAATGCGGTTTAATCCCTTTGTATGTTAACATATATTTCTAATACAGGCTGTATTTTTTAATTTAGGTCAGTGCATAGTACTGACCTGAAATGTCAATATTGTACTAACTTGATATTAGGGTTGCAGAGAATTGATTTGAAAAGATCTGAATCTAAAAGTTTAAACATGGCCGAGGACTTCAACAAAGTATCAAAATGTTGAACAATAAAATCTCTAAACCAAACTATCTAAAAATCTAGAGAAGAAATATTTTTCAAATGATTTGTTTTCATGGTTTCCAATAATAACAGATTATTTACTAGGTATGCCACTTAAAGGGACTGTCAACATAATTTCAAGGGACCCTCTATGTCCAATTCACAACGGTGCCCTTTAAATCTTTTTTTCTGACCAAGAATGAATTAGATATCCATGTTTTGTTTTTAATTACTGAAACTTCATTTTTTCTTTTCAAAAGTGACAATTGCGCATTTATGGCCAAAGAAACAATGCAATGAAGATATTAACAGAATTACATATTTTCAAGGTGTAAAGAACTTTCAAAAGTTTTATTTTTCAGATGGTTTCCTGATTTCATGAGCTAGAGATTCCCAGTTAGGTTTAGCACAAGCCAGGATATACCGCCTATATTCAAATAATATTAAATGAATTAGATTTCCAAGCTAGGGTGCTTCCCGCCTCTCTTTTTTGTAGTGTTTTACTTTTTATATGTTCATTAAGGCACTAAAATCCTTACAGATTTACTAAGTTTTTTCATTAACATAAATTTAGATATTTCTAGAATTAACTCTAGGCAAGTATTTGGAAAGTTTAGGATATTTGGGATGATTTTGTAAATGTTCAATAATTTGTTCTTAATTTCAGTTAATTTTCCTAATACAGTTTTTTGTTGAAAGATGTTCAGTTAAATATTTAAAGCATTCGGCTTCAACACTCACCATGACGAGCAGATCTAAAAATTTTAATTAAAATAATTTTTTTAAGTTGTTTAATATATATTTTATATGTATATATATATATTTACATTTTATATATATATATATTTAATAGATATATATATATATATATATATATAACTTTTAAATTTTGGCTCCTCATTTTATAAAATTTTCGCTGATTTTTCTTTTAAAAATGGCAAAATGTCAAAATGTTGGATTTCAAATTTGTTTCATGCATCGAGATCATTGTGAGACAACATTTGTTAATTCTGACCGGCCAGTAACTATGCCTTGGGTCTATCATGTGAGATTCTACAAAATCTTGAGCCGATCGGTTTCAAGACTTTTTGCCGTTTATTGCTACCAACCAAGGTTGTATTATCATGGTTGGTTACTCTTGCTGCGCTTCAATGTACGGAGAATGTCGTCTCCCAACAGAGATAGTTAAAAACTGACGTCACTATAGAGGCGAGAGTTATACGTCATATGATGTTTTTATCTATCTAACTTAGGAGACGACATTTTCCATACATTGGAGAGCATCGAGAGTAACCTGGCTTATTATACAACCTTAAAACAAAGAGAAAAGCCAAAGAAAGCCAAATAGATTGTAATGGTACCTGAAGCGTAAAGAAGCTGTTTTACATTCTGTTCATGAACTTTTAATACACCTGGGGCACAAAATAAACTATCAGAGCTGTGAACTTTAGAATGGGTTACCTTTAATCCCGACTTCTTAATCCGAGTTTCCATGCAATGTGGACACTTTTTATTTCGTACTTAATCTACTCTTTATTGAATAAAATACAGAAAAATAAAAAAAGGAAAAATAGAGAGTTACTCCTGTTTCTGTATATTAATATTAATTGGCGCTCAAAATTTTTAACTTCCCGGCTTCTGATACGCGACTCTGAGTGGTTGAATTGTGTACACTTTTTTGGATACAGTGCAAGATTAGGTTAGTCTCGAGATTAAAAAAGAAAGGATCAAGCATTGATCTCGATATCCACCATTCTTAAGTTCTCAGCTCAGATTAAACAAAAGATAATATAGATTATATTGATTTGTAATTGCAACTAAAACACAAAACTAAAACTAAAAAAAGCCTGAGATTGGAACTTTTGTGTAGAGTATCGTTAATCTTAAACGCTTGATCTTAATATCCAAAATTAGGATCAAACGCTAGATCTTAATATCCAAAATTAGGATCAAACTCTAGATCTTAATATCCAAAATTAGGATCAAACGCTTGATTATAGTATTGAAATAAGGATCAAACGCTAGATCTTAATATCGAAAATTAGGATCAAACGCTTGATTTTAGTATTCAAATAATGATCAAACGCTAGATCTTAATATCCAAAATTAGGATCAAACGCTTGATCTTAATATCCAAATTAGGATCAAACGCTAGATCTAGTATAAAAAATTAGGATCAAACGCTTGATTTTAGTATTCAAATAAGGATCAAACACTTGATCTTAATATCGAAGTTAGGATCAATCGTCTCATCTTATTATCCAAATTAGGATCAAACGCTCGATCTGAATACCCAAAATTACAATTAATTACGCTTGATCTTAGTATCCAAGTTAGGATCAAACTCTTGATCTTAATATCCAAATTAGGATCAAACGCTTGATCTTTATAATATCCAAGTTAGGATCAAACGCTTGATCTTAATATCCAAATTAGGATCAAACGCTTGATCTTAATATCCAAATTAGGATCAAACTCTTGATCTTAATATCCAAATTAGGATCAAACGCTTGATCTTAATATTCAAATTAGGATCAAACGCTTGATCATTTATATATATATACATATGTCTACCTGAATAAAGAAAATCTACTATTGTGGTCATCGTGATGAAATTTATTAACGCTAGAGGTTCCTGAAAATTTATTTTACATAATTTATAAAGTTTTTATAAACGAAATTATTCAAGAAAGGAAATAAGTTTTTTTAGACGGAAACTTATTCCTGTATCTTTGCAACCTGATCATGTAAACCTTTTACGTTTCAAAATTAGATTATTTGTTCTAACAAAATTTATAGTTTGAAACATCTAAGGTCTACGAGTAGGGTTTCCACGAAATGGCTAAATCTTTTGCGCAAAATTTATGAGTTTCGCAAAAGCGGAATAGGGCAATTTTTGCGCGAAATGACTTTTGCGAATGATTGCGCAAATTGTTGTTTTTTCGCGCAAAATTGATGCGCAAAGAAAGAAAAATATTGCGTTTCGTTCCGCAAAAATTGCGCAAAAGTTTTGCGAATGGAAACCCTATCTACGAGATTGGGTTGCAAATATGAAAGGCCTAGAAAATGAGAGCTCGTGGAAAGACTCAATTCCATTGTAAGGATGACTGCATAGATATGGTGGAACTATAGGTACGGGTGGTTAAAACAGCTGTTGGTATAAGGTGGTTAAAACATCTGTTGGTATAAGGTGGTTCAAACAGCTGTTGGTATAAGGTGGTTCAAACAGCTGTTGGTATTAGGTGGTTCGAACAGCTGTTGGTATAAGGTGGTTCAAACAGCTGTTGGTATAAGGTGATTCAAACAGCTGTTGGTATTAGGTGGTTCGAACAGCTGTTGGTATAAGATGGTTCAAACAGCTGTTGGTATAAGGTGGTTCAAACAGCTGTTGGTATAAGGTGGTTCAAAAAGCTGTTGGTATTAGGTGGTTCGAACAGCTGTTGGTATAAGATGGTTCAAACAGCTGTTGGTATTAGGTGGTTCAAACAGCTGTTGGTATAAGGTGGTTCAGCATTCCAATTGATTGAAAGTATAAAACTTCTAGAGTTGAGTGATGAAATAAAATTTGCATTTGTACTTAAAGCGTTTAGTATATATATATAGATTTGTATGTATATATTTGAAAATATAGATATATATATATATATGTTAGCCATAGTTGGCAAAACGGCTGACCGCTGGACCGAATTGGCTGACATTACAATTTTTCATTCAAAATTATATTTTTTTTAATTCCACGAGCAACGCCAGAGCCGGGCACTTCAGGTAATTAATTCGATATAAATCATAAAAATGTAAATCTGAGAGAAAAAAATTTGTTACAATAAAAAATTTTAAAAAAACGAAAATTACTTGTAAGTGTAGAACTTCTAAGATTTGTAAGTTTTATGTAAAATATTTGAAAATTAGTCCCATTACTAAAGTTGACCTGGAGGGGCAGTATAATATGTTTAGTTGATGTGAATCTGTTAAAATGTTAAAAGTCGACTTAAATTTCAGTGTAATATATATGATACAGAGTGGCTCTCATTTTCTTTAAGCTTATAGACAAAAAGAACTGATTATTTTTCTGTTAAAAATTTAAATTTTAAATTTAAATATATATCTTACACGATTTAAATTCCTAAGTTTTAAATACGTATGCATCCAATAATGTTTATTGTCTTGTAAATAGTTAACACATTTTTTGCTAATTTTATTTTTACAAGCTTTAAAAAAAACTAGCTGTCAGTAAAATGCACTTGCTTAACATTCTCAATTAATTTTTTGGATTCAAACTTTTTTTAAATGTTAAAATACCTTCAATGCAGCTTAAATTTGTTCGCTCGAAATGTGTATTTATTGTAAATGTAAACTTAAAGTGAGTGTTTACGTAATTTAAAGTGTGGTTCTAATGTGCAATGTTGGATTCAAAACAATACCCTTTAAATCCATACCTAAACAACAATTGGGAAAAGTGTTCAATCCTGTAAATTATGTAAATTGTAAGTTCCATAAAATACGCACTTCATTATTATAGCGAACACTTAATTAGAAATAATCAGTATATGCACACTCCTGTTGCCGGGTCCATTAGCGCCTGATCCAATCAGGGTTCAGTCATGTGTTTGTTGTCTATTCTGAACCAATAGAAATACATGTATCTTTATATCTATCTCTGTATCCAATTATAAATGAATCCTTCAATCAGTAAATGGAAATATTTACTTCTACTGAAACTATAGGGTTTCCCAAAAAACATGGGAATTCAGTGACGAATTCGATATCGTCTTTTCAAATAATTCTTTGATTTAGTATAGTGATACCTACTGAGAAAGCTGTAATCTGTAAGAGTTTCGTCTGCTATGTTTACATTTTGTTTGTTTATGTTTTGACTGCAACCGGTTGTACTTAGTAAAACAAGAAAATTACAGTATACAAACAGCGTAAACTTGTCCGTATTCACTGTTCATCATGCGGAGACATTATAGACACATCTTTGCAGTCTTTTACCCTTTTCATTAAATAAACTCTAGCAGACATAATAATATTATGGCTTTTGAAATTAGGTATTACAGTGATAATTCATAACAAAGACGATATCCAATTCGTCACTGAATTCCCATGTTTTTTGGGACACACTGTATAGTGTGCAGATAGATAAACAAAGATATTTTCATCATTTTTGATCCAGGATTATATTAAAAGGTACAGGTGGGAATCTGGCAACTCTTAAAATATAATGTTACATAAGAAAATAAGTTGGCAGTCCCTTAAATTCATAAAAACAACGTTGACAGTCCCTTAAATTCATGAAAACAACGTTAAAAGTTGACCTGCTGCCTTTCCTCTGGAATATCATCTCCTTCCAGCCCCTTGTGTTTTAATATAATTGTCTCTAGAAATTAGAATTATGTTTTTACAATATATATCAGTATTATTTTGAAAGTGCAGCAAAGAAATTGAGTCTTTGCCACAAACCACTATTTTTTTAAATCTCTATATTTGTGCAACCAAATACTGTAGACCATAGATATTTAAAATTGTGAATTCTGTCATATCAAGTCATCTAAGTTTGAAATATCAAAAGTTTACGTCAATAGGTTTCAAAGATATAGGAATTTGAAATTTTGAGTTTCTGACAAAGACTCAATTCCTTTCTGATAAATTATACTGAGATTTTATGTGTTTTAAAATCAGTGTTTTTTTTGTGTAATTTCAGGCTTTTTAAAGTGATTTTTTTTTCTCTAAAATATTAAAAATGGTGTCTCATAATTTCTTTTAGATGTGAATACCTTGTGAATTATCAAAATGCTGGAATATTTGGAAGAAATATTTGGAATGTTCGCACAATAACTCCTCGCTGAAAAGAAAACAATTAAAAAAACTAATTTATTTATAATTTTTTAATTGAATTGAATCAATTTGAATTGTCTGAGCTCCGTTAGATTTATTCTTTTTTCTGTAAAATTTCAATTTGATAAGATCTAACTTTATTTTAGCCAATCAGAAATCAGAAATCAGAAATATTTTTTAGAAACATTTGCCTTGGAAATTAATCCTTTATATCACATAGGGAACCAAGGCCTTGGAGAGTAAAATAAATGTAACCTTAATCTCATGCCCATTGACATATCAATATTGTGAGATGCAAAAAATAAATAGACTGTTCCCTAAAAGCATATGTGCCCAAATAATCATCTTTTTCCTAGTTTTTATAATAATAAATTTGTAAAAACTGATCTCAACAAATTAAAAAAAGATCTCTATTATTGGTGGCGATGTCTTTTCTGAAAAACAAAATTTTCGAAAGTATCATATTTCTTCGAAAATTGAAATTTTTCCATTATATTGTTTTTAAAAGATTTAAAGGAATAGATTATAATTCAGAATTAAATTAAACATTAGATATAATCAAAATTGAACAATTAATTACTTAATTCATAAATTAATTAATGATTAATTACCTGACTGATATAGTCCTGCCTTGAACTACAAGCTCGATCTCGTCATCTTTACACTCGTCCTTTATATGCAGAATGTAAATAAATCTTTACTCTCGTCCTTTATAGAATGTAAATAAATCTTTACACTCGTCCTTTATAAGTAGAATGTAAATAAATCTTTACTCTCGTTCTTTATATGTAGAATGTAAATAAATCTTTACACTCGTACTTTATACGTTGAATGTAGATAATTCTTTACACTTGTCCTTCATATGTTGAAAGTAGAAAAATCTTTACATTCGTTCTTTATATATAGAATGTAGATTGTAGATACATCTTTACACTCGTCCTTTATACGTTGAATGTAGATCATTCTTTACACTTTGTTATTGGTAGAAATTGTGATGTAAAGCTTAAGTCCTTAATATGTAACACAATAGAAATTTATTCCTTCTCATTCGTCCAGACTCAGTTCGTCCTATCCAGTATCCGTGCACCATTTAAATTCAAATGTTAAAACTCGTCCTTCGTTCGAATGGCAAATAACAGGGCAAAGATGAATAAAAGGAAGACTATTTTGATAGAAGTAGACTAAAGACAAGAGAGAAAAAGCAAAAAATATATCTTTTAAATACAAAAATAAAATATAAAAAATTGAAAAAAAATGAAAAAAATGTTTAAATTGATAGCATAGCATGTAAAAAAAATTTAAAAATCGAATTAAAAAGATGAAAAATAACTTACCTCTTCCTCAACATCCTCAGAGAAGTATTTCTCGCAGGAAACAGAACCCATTGTAACACTCAGTATTGATCTACTACTCAAGTAGCAAAATTATAAAAATAAACCTATAGTAGCACTCAGATTAGATCTGCTACTCAAGTAGCAAAATTATATCAATAAACCTGTAGTAGCACTCAGATTAGATCTGCTAATCAAGTAGCAAAATTATATAAATAAACCTATAGTAGCACTCAGATTAGATGCTAATCAAGTGGCAAAATTATATAAATAAACCTGTAGTAGCACTCAGATAAGATCTGCTAATCAAGTAACAAAATTATATAAATAAACCTATAGTAGCACTCAGATTAGATGCTAATCAAGTAGCAAAATTATATAAATAAACCTATAGTGGCACTCAGATTAGATCTGCTACTCAAGTAGCAAAATTATATAAATAAACATATAGTAGCACTCAGATTAGATGCTAATCAAGTAGCAAAATTATATAAATAAACCTGTAGTAGCACTCAGATTAGATCTGCTAATCAAGTAGCAAAATTATATAAATAAACCTATAGTAGCACTTAGATTAGATCTACTACTCAAGTAGCAAAATTATATCAATAAACCTATAGTAGCACTCAGATTAGATCTGCTACTCAAGTAGCAAAATTATATAAATAAACTTGTAGTAGCACTCAGATTAGATCTGCTACTCAAGTAGCAAAATTATAAAAATAAATCTGTAGTAGCACTCAGATTAGATCTGCTACTCAAGTAGCAAAATCATATAAATAAACCTATAGTAGCACTTAGATTAGATCTACTAATCAATTAGTGCAATTATATATTAAACATCTAGTATTAATCAGGTTAGATCTGCTGGTTAGATCTGCTACTCAAGTAGCGAAATTAAATAAATAAATTGTAGCAATCAGATTAGATCTAGGTTAGTTAAGCCACAACATTTGCAGACCTAGGTTACTTAAGTAGCGAAAAGACGACCTTAATATTTGTATCTAAATTTTATTCGTTTTGCTAGAACTTTCCTTTATTTTGAAGAAGATTAAAGCAACATCTTTGATTGCAATTTGCAGCGCAGGCATGTTCTATAATTCTCCTCTTTGACCAGAATGAGACAGATATCAAGTTGAGGGTTCAGGCCAAGGATATATAAAATGCTGACATTTTCAATTCTGAAACTATATACATGTAGTTAACATAATTTCATACGGAATCTATATAATGCATAAGTTTGAAAAATACTGATTAATCGCCTCAATCTATAATGTTCTATATTCCCTATGTATTATTGCAACTTGATTCAGTCATTCTTGAAGGGAGTTCAAGTTGGAAAATTAGAGTACGAGAAGATTGATCAATTCCTTAGATTTTGTGTGTGAACTTTTATTAAATTTATCAATTTAATTCTTTTTAAAACAAATTTAAATCTTTCACATTTTTCATTCATCAAACTTACTAACTTGTGGACTCACCGCTGCCCAGTTTAATAAAAGTTACTCTCACTGTATTTCTAAACTAGAGAAGGTACGAGGTGACAAAGTCCGAGATAATGTAGTGGAATGTAATAATATTTCTAAAAGTAACATATGTTGAAACAACATGTTCATGTTCGGATTTAAATAGGAAATTTTTAATCCGTCAATTTTTCTCAACCTAACTTATGACGTTCTTTCACATGAGGTCAAGACTGTTGTATATTAATCTGTTGTTTGAGCACAATTTGACAGTTTCTACCCCTACACAGGATAAAACCTCTGATATATCATTGAGAGTTTTAAGTTCATCCACGGGTTTAATTTTTTATTCCAAAGTTTCTAAATAGAAGTTTATGAAAAAATTAGAAATGCTTATGATTAAATGTCAAGGTAATATTTACTAATGATGATTAATGATAGAAATAATATTTGCTGTTAGATTTGTCAAGGTGTTTATCTATACTGTGATCTACAATATTTAATTCAGGGAGTAAACTTGATTACTTTTTCAAGCTATAGCTGTCAATACTTACCATGGGCCTTAGCTGTCACTATGGTAAGCGGGGTCTTAGCTGTCCACATTTCTTAGCTGTCCAAACTTACCAGGGCCGGGTCCTATAAGCTGTTAATACTAAATAAGATAAGATAACATAAAATTTATTGCTAAAATACACGTATCTGTATACAGATAGAGTTTACAATTACAAATTGATGATTATATTAACAGTACTAGTATAAAGCAATTAGGTGAAAAATAGCTCTTGGCTGTTTTGATTATTTTTTCCACCTAATTTAAATAATAATAACAAAACTTTTCAATTAAATAGATTTAAGGAGAACTTGTAGAGATCAGGGTGCGAATTTATCTTATGCAAAATAGTTTATACATTAATTCGAATAACTATAGTTTAAAGTAATTTTCTGACATGTACACAACAAATATCAAAGCTTATTAAAACTTACCTGGGTCTTAGCTCTCAACACTTACCTGGGTCTTAGCTGTCCACATTTCTTAGCTGTCAATACTTACCAGGGTCTAAGCTGTCACTTTACCTGGGTCTTAGCTGTCCACATTTCTTAGCTGTCAATACTTACCTGGGTCTTAGCTGTCAACCCTTCTTAGCTTTCCATACTTACCAGAGTCTTAGCTGTCAATACTTACCAGGGTCTTAGCTGTCAATACTTACCCAGGGTCTTCGCTGTCAATATTTTTACAACGTTATTAATATAGTTAACGAATGGCTTCCGAGCCGCATTTCTGTCACTTAAGGGATTAACGGCAGTATGCTCAAATTTAATGCTTCCTAGCCCTCCCGCCCTCACCCAATCATAACCGTATGTCTAGACAGTTTCTTACTACTGCCACCAAAAAAATATGGAATAGAAAGACGACTGTTTGACTCAAGTTATAAATTAAATTAGTCCAATCAACAGGTAACACAACAATTGTGAATTGTACACAGACTTATTTCACTTAAATGTCATCTTCTATTTCAACAATTTTTTGTGGCGCAATGTACTTGTTCTTAATTCAAAAAGAAAATGTTTTTATGCCTATAACACTGCAAGAATTTCAAAAGATTATAACTAATTATGTTTGCAACTTAAATTGTCAGCTAATATTTCACAAGATTGAGTCCGCTGATAAATTTAACTCTATTTAACTGCTGTAGGGTGAGCAAAGAGTGTTTTTGTTGTTGTTGTTCTTTATTGATCAGAATACAAAAGAAAGAATTTGCATTTTCTTCCTCTTCACATTAAGGGCTTTTAAAAGGAATTGAGTCTTTGTTACAAATTTAGATTTTCTTATCCCTACATCTTTGCAACCCAATTTTGTAGACCTTAAATATTTCAAACTATAAATTCTTTTAGATCAAATAATCTATAAGTTTGAAATTATAAAAGTTATACGTCATTAGGTTGCAACGGTAAATGAAATAGAAAATGTGAGAATGTGACAAAGATACAATTCCCTAGAAGAAAAAAAATGTAAATGAAATTAAAACGGCACTGCGGGGGATCGCATTTTGAAAATGGGTTTCAAAATTATACCATCCGTACATAAAATGGCCAATAGGGTTAAGCATATTTTTTTGCTACGCAAAAGATTTTCATTGAGAATCGTTTATAAAAATTGTTTAATAATAAGAAATTTAAATTAACCTTTATCACACTCTATAACTATAATAGAAAGGAATACAAGCACACACCGAGGGATTTCTATTTTCTTCGTAAAAAGAGTAATTTTTTCAAACATACTTTTTAGTTTTTATAAACATTTTATAAACATATAACATACTGAACACACTGTGTGAAGTCCTGGTATAAACTGCAGTGTAAAGTTTGGGTGTATTCCAACATCTAGTTTCAAAATATGGAATGCTTGCAATAGCTTTCTGATATTTTACATAGAGTTCCGAGATATATATATATATATATATTTAACATTTAACATTTACAAGGATAAATTCCATTTTTTTAAATGATAATGTTCTAATTTCCCTTAAAGAATGTATATTATATAGCCTTATCTCTGCATGGGAACCTTAACACCTTTCCCCCCCCCCCCCCCCCTTTTATATAAAGCAAGAATTGGGTTCAAAGAGATTAAATTCATTTAATTTAATATTATTTTTGGTGTTCAAAAATGTTTCTTTAAATGAGTATTTATTGAAAATCTAAAACCATCATAATCCATTATCAAAATTCAAATATACCCACCGAAAACTTTATGAAGTTTTTTTCACAGGAATTTCTTGGATCCGTTGCTAACGGTATAACTTAATATACTATAAAAAAATATTTCCCCAATTAAAAGGAATATAGTTCAAATATTTTTTATGATTTCTTGTTGTAAACGTACATTTACAAAAAAAAGTTAACATTTAAATCATGAGGTCTTCAGAATTGTGTTAGTAATCAAGCTTTGAAATAATATTATGCCAATAAATCAAGGTCTTCAAAATTGTGTTAGTAATCAAGCTTTGAAATAATATTATGCCAATAAATCAAGGTCTTCAGAATTGTGTTAGTAATCAAGCTTTGAAATAATATTATGCCAATAAATCAATTGATCATATATTTTGAAATAATTTTATGCCAATAAATCAAGGATCATATATTTTGATTATAATGATTTTATGACTAGTCCTGAATCAATTAAAATTATAAAAGCAAAAGTAATATTGTAATATTGTATAAAATAATATATATCTTATAATAATAAAGTCTTGTAATCTCTCTTTGGTTGCTTGTTTGACTGTTTTTGTGTCCAATCATAACTCAAGAAACAGCAGAGGGAAAAATAAACATTATGTACATACAGGGTGTCCCTCGAAACATGACAGTTTGTGAATAGTTTTGAATGTCTTCTTCCACATACTGTATTAGATATTAAAGACTTTTTGCAGTTTATTTCTTTAAAAAATGTTTAACTCATATATTTTTAACTTTATCAATTTTTATTCATAATTTTTTATAAAACAAATTAATTGATACATCTATTTAATGCAGAATGCAGATACTTATTTTTCCAATCTTCTTGTTTCCTTGCTGTCCTGTTTTGCTCATTTAATTAGCTGCATGCCCCCGCCCCCCCCCCCAGGAGGGTTAATATGCAGTTTAGAGAGCTGATCAGGCAATTTGTAGTATTTCAATATCAGCTCTTGAGTTTCTATATTTATTCCATTTGTTTTTAATATCGGCCATCTATGCAGGTTTATTGCTGCCATTGTTGTAATGAGAACTTCCCTTTGTCAGCTGCATTACATGTATCAGTGTCTTGCAGTAATTTAGAAAGAAATTAGAAGACCTCCTAGCCTTAACTGCATTCGGCTAGGTTCAAGGTGATTTGGGTGTACCCCCTAGGAAAGGAACACCCATGATACCAATGATGATCTCTCTCAGAAAGTTTTGATTAACTCATATATATTTTACTGTGAAATCAATTTTACTATAATATAACTGTCATAAAAAAAAAATTATTAGTCTCTTTATAGTTTCAAACAACTTATCAAACTATGGAGAAGACATTTCAAACTATTCACCAACTGTCATGTTAAATGGGACGCCCTAAATACAATACATGTATTTTATCATTCATAATTCGGTGTTTTATTTGAATAATTAACCGAGGATGCATTGATTCCTAAATTCCCCGTTTAAGTTAAATCATATTTAATTAATTACAAAGCCCCACCCCCAAAAAAAATACATGGCTGCCATATACCTCCTTAGTGAAACTTGAAAATCAGGGTGACACAAAAATCTTTGAATTTTTTTTTCTTAAGGGAAAAATTAGGATTTTTAAAAAACAAATATTAAAAATGCGTCCTCGATAATTCAAATAGCTATTATTTAGGACACTGCACATTGTTTTAAAATAAAGAATTAAATTTTTTCACCAATTTGTAAAATTATTGTTAAGAAAATTGGGTAGATTTTTACTGATAACTTTTTGCAAGTTTAAATTTAAGTAATTTAATTGTAAATTGTGATATGATAAATATTTTTTATTTTTTTCATACAGAGGGTGTCCCAATTAACATGAGAATTGAGAGACAACTTGAATATCGTCTTTGATTTCCAAATAATTGATAAATGACATAAAATAATCTAAAATTATTATTTTCTTAGTTTTTGACCAATGAAATCCTAGAGGGGGGGTGTTCACTGTTCAGTGATATTGGATTTCTACTGAACAAATTTAACCTGAGGCTGATATCTCTGTCAATTTTGAAGGTATAAAAAATGGTAGACCACATTTAGGAAATCCCGAGACTTATAATGTTAGTTTTCGATGTCAAATGTTTTACTGGGATATTACAAAATTATATTAAAGAAATAATCCCGCATAGAACTGCAAAGATGATTTTGAAGTCGTCATTATTCGCATAGGTTTATAATTGGGACACTCTGTATTCATGATCTTTCAAAAAATAGAAGGTAAAAACATATATAACAAATATGAAAAATTACTTTTCGTTTAACTTTAGATAAAAAACGACCATGGGAGGAGAACTCCCGGCCCCCCTCCCGAAAATTAACAATTTGCCTGATCGTTTTCTAAAAAAATAATAAAAAAATGGTTTTTGGTTATTAAATTTTTTTAGAAAAAAAGAATATTTTGATGTGCAATATTCAATTATTTCTTTAATTATTACATTTTTCCTCTTAAACATTGAATTGCAAGTTCCCGTGTTTTCTCCTGAAATTTTTACAATCTGCCGCAATTGGTTTAAACAGTTTGTGAAAGTGAATGCTTATCTCTGATTGGTCCGCTCCCCCTACCTGCCTCTCAGATACCGGTATCTATCTATCTATCTATCTATCTACACATTTGCGAACAAGGGTTTCAAAAGTTGAAACATAACAGGGGCTCAGCCGAAACTCGGAATCAACATGAGTTTCTCGAGCGATGAAGTGAATTTTCTCGTCTACAGATATCTTCAAGAATCAGGCTTTGTCCATTCAGCTTTCGTTTTCGGCGCCGAATCCTTGATTGCTCAATCCAACATTAATGGAGCCTTAGTTCCTCCATCCTCCCTCATCTCCATTATACAGAAGGGATTAATGTATGTCGAAGCTGAGATAAGTACAGCTGAAGATGGAACTGAGCGACATATTGACACACTATCCCTAATTGATGCAGTAATGCCGGATGTTGTGACAAGCCGGAAACAAATTGAGAGCAACGGCAAGTGTCCTGGGATAAAAGAGGAAACTGCCGGCGGATCGGCCGACCATGGCGAAGGTCTGGGTGAATCTATGGATGTTGATGTCGAGATCCCGGCCGAAAAATCCACAATTCTCAAAGGTCATGAGAGTGAAGTTTTTATTTGTGCCTGGAACCCTAAACAGGACTTGCTTGCATCCGGTTCTGGAGATTCCACCGCCCGCATCTGGAATCTGACCAATCCCGACCAGCCGGCGACAACAGAGGTTCTACAGCACTGCATCAAGATGGAGGGTAAGGAGGTTCCGAGCAACAAGGATGTCACCTCGTTGGATTGGAATTGTACAGGTAGCCTCCTGGCTACTGGATCCTACGACGGTTTTGCTAGAATCTGGTCAACCACTGGCAAGCTAGAGAAGACCCTGGGTCAGCACAAAGGACCGATATTTGCGCTGAAATGGAATAAAACTGGAAATTACATACTCAGTGCTGGTGTGGATCGGACGACTATTATCTGGGAAGCAAGTACTGGAACTTGTAAACAACAGTTTGGTTTCCATACTGCTCCGGCCCTGGATGTTGACTGGAAATCTGAAGATAGTTTTGCCTCCTGTTCTACAGATAAACAGATCCATGTTTGTCAGCTGAATCATGACAAACCTATTAAATCCTTCCAGGGGCACACTAACGAGGTGAACGCTATCAAGTGGGACCCCCAGGGTAAGTTTCTGGCGTCATGCAGTGATGATATGACCCTGAAAATCTGGAGTATGGACCGGGATAAGTGTCTCCATGATCTGCAGGCCCATCAGAAGGAGATTTATACAATAAAATGGAGTCCAACAGGACCTGGGACAAATAATCCAAACATGAATTTGGTTCTTGCCAGCGCTTCATTTGATTCTACAGTTCGTCTGTGGGATGTCGAGCAAGGAACCTGCCTACACACCCTGACCAGGCACAAGGAACCCGTATACAGTGTCGCGTTCTCGCCTGACGGGAAATTTCTGGCCAGCGGGAGTTTTGATAAATGTGTTCACATTTGGAGCACCCAGACCGGGCATTTAGTTCATTCTTATTCTGGAACCGGTGGGATCTTTGAAGTTTGCTGGAATTCAAAAGGAGATAAAGTCGGCGCTTCGGCCGCCGACGGAACCGTTTTCGTTCTTGATCTTCGGAAGTAAAGGATTTTATCAGCATTGTAGTGAACTTGATTTTATTGCTCAAGTAATTGTTGCACACTGTGAGTTAAAACATTGAATAACATAAATGTTAATGTTTAGTTTAAAATTAAAAAGTACCTTTTTAACGCATCAAGAACCCGTGAATTTTCTCAGAAATGAAAAATCTTTCTTTTAGATTTTAATTTTTACTCGTCAAGCAGTTAAGTTCTGACAAACATGAAAAGCATAGTTAAATCAATTTTATGTTTTGAACATTTTTCTGCATTCGGCAGAATTGCAAACGTCACAAATGATATTTTAATTTTTTTGCATTTGCATGCATTATACAATTTTTATGTTTTATTCAACATCAAAGTCCAACTTGGATTTTATTTTTCCTCCGTGGAAATTTTAATTTTACCTGAACCAAAGTGAAAATGTTTACAAGCTAATCTGATTCTAGGGCTTGTAAAATAATTTATCAATTATTTTGTGATATCTTTAGAATTCATCCCGAAGTACAAACTGTCTTTTAACTGCATTAAAAAGTTTACAGAGATTTAAATAAACTTTTTGACCGAAATTTTTTATTTTTTATTTTTTGTGTTTGAATATGTTGATATTGTATGGTTGTTTGTCCTTTTTTCCAAAGTTTTTCTTTCTTTTTTTTCAAACAAATATCTTCTTTGTCGCATTTGTTCATTAGAAAATCATAATATTGTTAGAAATCTTAATGCTTTTCTCATGGGTACAATTCAAGGAGTATGAATATTTCTTATACAAATGGAGTACCCGTCTGCAATTTCTATTTCATACTCCTTGGTTAATTCCTGTAAGAAAAGATTGAATTACATTTTATTTGGGGCAGTAATTGTAAATATGTCTTTTTTCTCCAAACTTTTTCAATTCATTTTCTAGATAATTAATTGTTCTATTAATACTAATGCTTATTAGTAGAAAAATGTTGTGTGGTTTTGCATTGTGCCTTTTTTGTTTTAAAGTTGAATTTTTTATTTGATTTTCAAAAAATACTGCGATATTTCATGAAAAGAAAAATTATGTGGCCGTGTGCGTCTTTGCAAAAGACCTTTTCCTGAAGTCAGGGGTGTATATTTTGCAGGGGGGGGGGAGCTGAAGAATTGAACATTTAAAGGCCACTTTTTTGTTGTCTTTGATACTTTTCACCTAAAAATTCATTGATTTTTCTCTAAATATCAACCCATAATTCTTGTATTCTAGGATTATTGAGGGAAAAATTATTTTCAAAAAGGGGTGGGGGAGAAAAACTATTTTTGAGAAAATATGCATCCCTGTCTAAAATTAGTTTAATCTTTTCTATGATGAATCATTTGTGATGCTTAATTTGTTAGTCTCCTCAGCGTAATCTAACGTTCTCTTAAAAGCGTATTACATATTTCATATTTTTATTCTACTACAAAGCAAGAGATAATACAAATAATAAATCACAATTTACTATGTAGTTTAGACCCGCCTAACCAGAGTTAGTTGTTTTGATTGGTTGGCCCATTATAAGCGAATAAAAATTGTAAATAAACAGATTGATGTACACTGTGTACATTTTAAACAAAACAATGATGATAAATTTATTTACTTAGCTTAAACTTAACCACTGCACTGGTGATATAGATATATCATAATTCTAAACAAAAGCTAAAGAAAAAAGCAAGATATTGGGGAAATTTGTACAGGAACCTTTCCCCCTGAACAAATATCTACCGTTAGTTTAAAAATCTGGAAAATATAATGGGTTTGTATAATGTGTACTCCGTTGCGAGAGTTGTGTGTACTAGAGGGCTGAGGCTTTATTGACTTCATTTGAACGACGATGCATATGTTTTGTGTACTGGTGTATATTGTGTACTCATGACTTTATATTAGTGTACTCGTGTAATTACGTTTGTGTACTAATGTCTGTATGATTGTGTACTCTTATATAATGTACGTCGTCTACTCATGTCGATATGTTTATGTGCTCATGTCTTCATGATTGTGAACTCATGTCTATATATTTGTGTACATGATTGTGTATGTTTGCTAATGTTGGTTTGTTTGTCTATCATGTTTATGATCAAATGCTATTTATATTTGCTTGTGGACTCATGTTTAAAGTTTGGTTACCATGTCTTTATGTTTGCATATTCGTTTCTATAAATTTCTGCTTGTCTGTGTTTTCACGTCTTTATTTTTGTATACTCATGTCTAAGTTTTAAAACTCATGTCTATATGTGTACTTGCGTCTATGTGGTTGAATAATAATGTCCACATATGTGTGTACTCAAGTATGTATTTATGCTAATGTACTCATTCTATAAATTTGTTTTCAAATGTCTGTATGTTTGTGTACTATAGCGTCTATATTGTTATATACTCCCGTCTATATGGTTATGTACTCCCGTCTATTTGTTTGTATACTCATGTCTATATGTATGTATGCTCGTGTTTATAAGTTTCTGTAATTTTGTCTATATGTCTCGATCGCTGTACTAATGTCTATATGTTTATGTAATAATTTCTGCATGTGTTGGTACTCATGTATGTATAATGTTGGTGTTTTTCTGTATGGGTTTCTGTATGTTTGTGTACTCATGTTTATGTTTTCTGTAATCATGTCTGCATGTTTCTTTACTCTTTCATGTCTTTTTATGTAATATTTCTATATGTTTGTTATTATACTCCTGTCTATCTATATGTCTGTATATAATCAAATCTATTTGTTTCCTACTCTTGTCTGTATGTTTGTATATTCACGCCTCATGTCTATGTTCAAAGAAGCAAGCCTTTTAATTGCAATTCATATACAAATCGACGGAAATAAAAATGTAAGAATGGAACATAATTGAAATTAATTTTTCTTAACATTATGGAGACTATGGATGGCCATCGTATTGAGCTTTGATTAAAGATATTCACCAAAACAAAAGATTTATCTTAAAAATCTAAATTTTTAATGTTTAAAAACGGTGCCATTAATATCTAGAGCTAGTTGAACTTGCATCTTGGAAGGAGAAGCTAAAATGTTGTTATTGTTTTTATCAAGAAAATTAGTTCCAAGAGCGCTCCAACTATAACTACCCTCAACTAAGCTTTCGGTGTGTTCTGCAGTAATTTGTAGTACTCTGACCGAAGAAATAGTCGAGTCTAAGTGGAGAGTGTAACAATTGTAAATATTAACAACCCTTCTTCTACTTTCATTGCTTTAGGGTAAATCCTATATAATAGATAGATATGTTGATTGTTCATAATCAGGAAAGAGAAAGTTGTTATTATATACATATATTATACACAGGGGTTCATTATTTCAACCCTTGAAATAATTGATATTATGATATACAGATAATAATGGTGTCTGAGCCAACGTGTGTCGGAATACACTGATCTTATCAATACAGAGGGACCTAAAACTGTGGAAAAGTAAACAGTTTAAAAGTTTTCCAGTTTGTATAGCTTGGTTTTAGCCAAAATAGACTGGGGGGGGGGGGTCACAATGAACTGGCCGCCCCTCCTTTATTTCCCTCAATTGCGATACAAATCTCTAACATTTGTTACATTTTTTAAAAGCCCTTGGGCCCTACTTCTATGATCTTAACCCTATNGAGAGTACATGTATTGGGGGAGGGGGTTCAAGGGTAAAATTAGAAATTTGAAAATGGGGTTACATAGTACTTGAAATTGAAGGCGCTTTGTGGCCTTTTTTCCTGGTACCAAATTCGACAAGTGTATTTTAATATTACAACCACCAAGCCCATCTTTTGGACACCACACAACGGAACATATCTAAACAAAACATATCCCATTCCCAACGGAACATATCAAAACATAACATATAACCCATTCCCAACGGAACATATCAAAATAAAACATATCCCATTCCCAACGGAACATAGCAAAACAAAACATATATCCCATTCCCAACAGAACATATAAAAACAAAACATATATCCCATTCCCAACGAAACATATCAAGTAACCAAGTAAGTAACAAAAAATTGTTTCTACAAAACATATCATTAAAAAACAAATCAAATGACGTAGAAAACACATATTAAAATACAAACATATATCAACAACAAAACACATCAAAAACAAAACAGATGAATACATTAAACATAATTTTTCAAATGAGCAAAAAAAATCGTTCAAATAAGCCAAAATGATCGTTCAAATAAGCCAAAAACAATAGTTCAAATAAGCTAAAATAATAGTTCAAATAAGCCAAAAATAATAGTTCAAATGAGCAAAAAAATTTATAATTAGGAACCAAAAATCACTCCGTAGGCGAAAATTTTTTTTGACTTAAAAGACTCAAAAAGAGTCAAAATTAATGACTAAAGACTTAAAAAACTAGATTTTTAACTTTTCACACATTATAGTTTGACAGATATATTTTCTGTTTTGCACTAGGGTTTCTGTCCCTTAAGCATGCTATTGAGAAGCTATTCTGAAAAAAGGAACAAAAAATTCCAAATTCAGGGGTGGGGCTACGCCCCTCCCTGAATCTACAGTTGACTAAGGTCAGAAGAAGAAGAAGGACATATATTTAATAGTAATTGGTACAGGGGTACATCAACAAGGGGACTTTATTCACATTTTTATATTATATATTTAAAGATTTGATTTATTTAATAATATAATATAAGGTTATATTTAATAATATAATTATGGACTTTGTAATTTAACAGTTTTTAACAGCTAATTACAGGAAGATGAAACTCTAAGAATTTAACAAACTGTCGTCTAGTCTCATCCTTTATGAAAACCTTACATAAATGAAAAGCAAAAATGCATATTTTTTGTCATTCTGTTTACTAAAACTCTGTTAAATAAAAAGCTGTTTAATAAAACTCTGTTTAATAAAATTCTGTTTAATAAAACTCTGTTTAATAAAACTCTGTTTGATAAAACTCTTTTTAATAAAACTCTGTTTAATAAAACTCTGTTTAATAAAACTCTGTTTACTAAAACTCTTTTTAATAAAACTCTGATTATGAAAACTCTGTTTGATAAAACTCTGTTTAAGAAAACTCTGTTTAATAAAACTCTGTTTAATATTTAATAAAACTCTGTTTAATAAAACTCTGTTTACTAAAACTCTTTTTAATAAAACTCTGATTATGAAAACTCTGTTTGATAAAACTCTGTTTAAGAAAACTCTGTTTAATAAAACTCTGTTTAATATTTAATAAAACTCTGTTTAATATTCAAAAAAACTCTGTTTAATAAAACTCTGTTTAATAAAACTCTTTTTAATAAAACTCTGATTATTAAAACTCTGTTTAAGAAAACTCTGTTTAATAAAACTCTGTTGAATATTTAATAAAACTCTGTTTAATAAAACTCTATTTAATAAAACACTGCTGAAAAAAACTCTGTTTAATAAATCTCTCTATAATAATAATATCTTTTCGCATTTCCAAATAAGCTTGATCCCAACTCTAGCTGTACAATCTCAATTCTGTTTAAACTCTAAGAATTAAACAAACTGTCGCCTTTAAAGTCTCACCCTTTATGAAAACCTTACATAAATGAAAAGCAAAAATGCATATTTTTTGTCATTCTGTTTTGATAAATATCTGTTTAATGAAACTCTGTTTAATGAATATTGTTTACTAAAACTCTGTTTAATAAAACTCTGTTTAATAAAACTCTGTTTAATAAAACTCTGATTAATAAAACGCTGTTTAATAAAACTCTGTTTAATAAAACTCTGTTTAATAAAACTCTATTTAATAAAACACTGCTTAATAAAACTCTGTTTAATAAAACTCTGCTTAATATTTAATAAAACTCTGTTTAATAAATCTCTCTTTAATAATAATATCTTTTCGCATTTCCAAATACGCTTGATCCCAACTCTAGCTGTACAATCTCAATTCTGTTTAATCCTCTAAGTTTGTTTAATCCCAAGTCTGTTTAAAATCAAGTCAGTTTAATCCCACCTCTATTTAATCCCAACTCTTTATAGAACCAACCCTTTATAATCCCACAAATTTATAACACCAACTCTTTTTAGTCAAAACAAGTTTTTTCGAACTATATTTATTCCCAATTCTGTTTAATCCCATCACTTTTTACTCCCAACTCTGTCTAATCCCAGCTATATATAATCCCAAAAATCTAAAATACCAACTCTTTTTAGTCTCAATTTGGCTTAATATAGAACCAGTTTTTTTCCAACTCTATTTTTTTCCAATTTTGTTTAATTCCAATTGAGCTAGTTTAATCCCATTTTTTGTTTATTCCCAACTCTGTTGAATCCCAACTCTATTAAGTCACAACTCTGGATAAGGCTATTTTTTAACAATCCCAACTTTGTTTAATCCCAACTCTGTTTAATCCCAAGTTAATTAGAAGTGTTAACCGTGTTCATGAATTTTGTATTTGAGAAATGATGTTGCTCCCTGTATCGAGGATATTACTGAGTATACTCTGTGTATCCTCTGTATCCGGTTGCCTTCCACCCAACTTCTTCCAGGCCTTGTTCCAACCACAAGTTATTGTAACAACGACAACAACAACAACAACAACGTCATCAATATCAACAGGAACAACAACAAGTACTTCTAGTTCTTCTTCATCATCGGTCAGTACTGAAGAACCATTGACAGGAAAACTCAGGAATGCGACAGGTTATTTTTTTTAGCTTACAGACAAATATTTTTTCTTCTTTCTGAGTGAACAATGAACATGCTATATGCAGTAACATACCGAATATACCGAATATAACTGTTACAGGGAATGACTTTTGATACAGTGGGACTTATAAAACTTTGGAAAACAAAGACGACATTAAAGCAATCTATATATTCAATATTCAACATTTTATTGGCATTGGACAATTTCCTAATTATTTCCGCCAATTTTAAATGTTTTTAAATGGCGGACCACATTTGGAAATCCCACAATCAGAAGTTTTAGATATTACTTAATTTCCATGTTCATTGAGACACCCTGTACTTCAGGTTGTGGTCTCCTAGGGACCCCGCCTAATAAAAGACAACTCAGGAAAGCATTAAATAAACGGAAGAAAAATAAAGTGAAGGTAACCTTTTAACAATTTTTTATATTCTTTTATACTGAATATCTTCATTAGATAGATGTCGTTGAGGCCTAGGCCCAAGTTTGTACGATAAGAAGCGAATTTTTGTTGCAAGTTCAAACTTGGCCAAAACTTGAAAAACTTAAGTTTTTTTAAAATATTTTTTTCCAAGATGTTGCCAAGTTGTGAACTTGTACATTTAAAAGCTAGATCGCATTCTTAAAATATTTACAAGTATTGTTCCAAGTTCAAACTTTGCCAAAACCTAGATGGAATCTCGAGTTTTTTTTATAAGCTTTTGTTCCAAGACATTGCCAAAACTTGGATGAGAAACGCAAATTTTTCACAAAGATTTGTTCTAAGATATTGCCAAGTGTAAACTTGGCCAAGACTTGTATAAAACCTAGAGTTCAGGACTGGAATTCTAAAGTCGAGATATTCTTGACATTTTTTCCCGGGATTTTAAGTTTAAAGTTTTGCCAAACTTGAAGTTTTGTAAGTTTTTGATGCCAAGTGCATGACTTTAGCATTAAAAAGTCGGCATAATATTTTCATACTTTGAAGTAGAAAATATACTGTTCAAGAACCCTGAAGATGATACGAGGATAGTTGGAGGGGTGGCGACCTATGAAAATGAGTTCCCCTGGCAGTGCAGTATATTAAATCGGTAAGCTTTCACAACAACTAATTTCTTGCCTTATAAAATAAGAATCCACGAAATTTTTGGAAAACATCGCAAAAGTAACACTAAATGGCATTTTTTCATTGCGCTCGTTCATCGTTTTTTAACGGTTCATTTCGTTCTTACTTTTTTTGATTTTTCAAACTAAATTATTGTTTTCATTCTCAAAATTATTGTTCATTTTCCATCTTTTTCATTCCGATCGATCAGTTTAAAATCATTCGTTTGTGTTCTTTAAAAACTAACCTTATTTTTTAGAGTTTGTTTCAAATAACCGGTCGTTTTTTTCAATCTTTTAGAAAATTTGTTTGTTCAGTAAAAATTTATCGTTTTTTTTAATTTGTTACAAAAATTTTAATTTGGTCGTTTTTTATCTGTAGTTTTAAAAAAACTATATATTTTTCATTTCTCTGAACGATCCAAGTCGTTCGTTCATTGCTAGTTTTTCAGCACAACCTCCAAATATCAGGCATGTACAGTTTGCTGAAGTGTGGCTGGACCATGTATATAAATAGTGTTGATGTGCAGGGACAATTCCTGGTATGGATGTGGAGCTTCAATCCTGAGCTGTGACCCTGTTCTTATAATAACAGCTGCTCATTGTGTATATAATAGATTTGCTGACGAAAACAACATTAATGGAGAAATAAAGGTAAAAAAAACTATAATTGGTGCCAGTAGGCTATTTATGAATTTAGTGAATGAAAAACTCTTATGCGCTGCGTTGTATAAACCTATAATATTTCAAACTTAGAATATCTGATCTGACATTCACAGTTTGACATATCCATATCATATTAGAAATTTTCAATCTAATCTAAAGGGTGGACGAGAAAAAACCTGTTTTTTTAGTTTTTAGTCCTTAAACCATTGATTTTGGACAAAATTAATCTTTAAATCGGCAATGAAGTTACTGCGTGTAATAGGAAAGATATTAAAACATTCCTTGGAAAATTCTGATTTCAAATGTGCCCTAACGAGGTATTTATAATGCTGTACCTCATGATATCCTGGGCTGCTGCTAGCATAAAGGGATCTTATTAAAAGACGAATTCAGTTTAAGTGTTCGAATTTTCATCAGAACCATTAAAAAACTTTATAAAAATTATTTCTACCAGAGAACAATAAAGTTTAATGAATATATATGATTCTACAAAATCCTTCCTGCTATAGAATAAGAAAAAAGCTGCCCAGGGGAACAAAGATAGACAAAGAATATGCGAATTAAGGAATGCAGATTGAAGGCAGCAGGAGAGATCATTAAAAAACGTTGCTCTTAGAGTACTACTGCATTACTAAAACATTCAAAAATGTAAAAAAATGTTTCTTAATATATAAAACTAAAAAAATATTTAAAGGAATTGAGTTTTTGCAACAAACTCAAATTGTTAACTTCTATATCTTTACAACCTTTGATATTTCAAACTTAGATTATCTGATATAAAAGAATTAAAAGTTTAAAGATTGTAAAGTTGTAAAGATATAGGGATTAGAAAATCAGATTTTGTGGCAATAACTCAATTCCTTTATCAAAAGAGAGACCAGGTAAAGAGTGTTTTAAAGATCCCAAAACTGTTTGAATAATAAAGCTTGCAATAAACTACAAAATATGGCAACATGATCAAAACTGATGTTTTATGAAATCAAATATTTTTCATCAAGAAATACTATTAAACCATTTGAGTTGGTCTTTAAGCCTTCGTCAAGTAATTTTTAAAGATTATATATATAATGAATTCATGTCAAAATTTTTGCTGAACTGCAGATGATCTATAACTGAGATTACTTTTGTGATACTGCAAATTCTATGAATTTGCTGGTAGCTGGGATATTAAGAAAATTGCGCTTTGACCGGCTCGCGAGTACACATTTTTCATCAGAATGTATTATGGAATGTTTAATCCAAGTTCTAAAAATTTGAACCATTTTTTCAGAATTTGTTTAAAAGTTTATTGTAGGAGGCCAAAATAGTAAAAATACAGGTTTTCGAGTCCATCCTTTACCTGCCGCTAAATTAATATAAAATTTTGACTTTCTGATTAACATTATTATTTATATAATTATAACTAGCTGAATAGCACGGCGTTTTGAAAAAAAAAATTGAAAAAATATTTTGAAAAAAAATATTCTCGATTTTTTTAGCCTATGACACCCCATATTTCAGCCCAATCGGTCCAGCCGTTTGGCCGGCTAATAGGAAACATATATATACGAATGTCTTCTTTTATTATGTAGATTATTATCAATATTAATACAGATATGTGAATTTGTTCTTGGTTCTTGTTTGTGTTAGATTTTAATAGTGATTACAAAAAATATATGTAGGTTTCCTGTGGCGATCATTTTACAACTGGGTTAGATACCAATGAGAAAAGAGCGAGTGTGACCAAAATTACTATTCATGAATCATACAATTCTGACACATTTGAGGTAAATATTAAATAAAAAAATCGATTTTGAAATTCATATATTTTGATTTTTAAACTTATGAATGCCCTTTGGATTTACAGCTGAAGCTGGTGATTTGATCAATCAAATGTCAACAGGGTTTCCATGGAATGGCATTTTTCTTCGCGATTCGTTGCGCTAAATTTAGGATATTAAACAGTACCAATGCGCAATAATGCTATAAAGCAAAATCACAACAAAGCAATAGCACAGAATTCATATCCGCAATGGCAGCTTTTCGCGCAATATATATTACGAATCAATGTGCAAAAATGTCAATATTGCGCGCAACCCTAATGCGCGCAATGATATTCCGATTGGAAACCCTACCTTTAAATCAACGGATTATTCCTTCCTAGAGGGAATACAAATATTTATCCAAATTATGAATTTCCCATGATGTGATAACCATAAATGATTTTTAGAATGATATTGCCATTCTTCATGTCTCCAGTGGAATCACATGCTCCCAGGGCAAGATCTGGCCAGCCTGCCTTCCAAACGCACAGGTAGAAAAAAAATGAGGGAAAAATAATAGATTGTAAAAAATCGTATTAAAAACGATTGCTTATTGTTTTTATAAATTATTGTTTTCAAAAATTATCGTTATTTGTTTTCTAAAAGATAAAAACGAGTAAATATCGTTTTCAAAAACAATCTTTTTTTCCGAAAACGAAACGCTAGTTTTGAGAAAAACCGAAAAACGAAATGGAAAACGATAGTTTTTTTGATCGTTTTCAAAAAGGATTATAACAACCATACTTTCATGTCATTAAAATATGCATGACATATATAGGCTCATAAAGCTTCCCATGCAATTAATTTTATAACTTTTTTTACAATTTACTTACCAGAGCCTAACAGTTTGCTGGGTATCTTATGAGTTTTTGTAATTTTGTGATCCTCAAAATGAGTTTTGATTTAAGTTGAATTTGAAATTTTTATTAATATCTTTGGGCAATTTGCATCCAGTGTAAGATTTTTTTTTATTAATTATTTATCTTTTTTTACCCCATCAGTTGAAGTAAATACAGTTTCATTTAATGGCTTTACACATTACTAAAACCAGCCAATTAAAATATCTTTTTTTAACTTTATAACCTTTTTTGTTGTGGGAAAATTAGGACAATTTTTTTGCATGCAGTATTCCAGTGTTGGGTTTAAGGAGGTATGCAACCAAACTTGTATCTGTTGAGACTAAAATATTTTTTATTGATGTTAATTTTTCTGATTTATTTTCCCTAACCATTTTATTTGTTGTACGCTACTAGACGTACAGTATGGTAGGATGGACTGATGCCTATGTATCTGGCTGGGGAACTACATCTGAGGGAGGACAGGTTTCAGATATATTAAGAAAGGTAAAAAAAGATGAAATGAAAACTTTATTTATCAATTTTGTTACCTTCAATGTTCAGCATAGTTACTCAAATACTCAATACTCAAATTTGTGATCTAACAGAAAAATATTTTTTTTTAGCTAGTAACCCAATTTTCAATTTCCATAAATCTTAAAGTAGTATAAACATCATGGAGTGATTAGAACATGAACCATGCAATTTTAATGAATGAGGAGACGCGGTTTAGCTATGTCTTACAATTCATTAAATATGTTCCTTTGGTGCATAATTGACTCAAGAGTACACTCTAGTATGCCGAGTCCATTAGCCCCTGATCCAATCAGGGTTCAGTCATATGTTTGGTGTCTATTCTGAACCAATAGAAATTGCATGGCGGTAACATCTAACTTTCTATCTAGCTCATTATACAATTACAGATAAATCCTTATATCGGCGCTATAACATTAAATGGAAATATTTACTTCTATTGAAACTATAGGGAGTAGGGTTTCTAAAAAACAAAATTCTGTTGCGTGAACTTGCACGGAATCATGCGAAAAAACGCGGAATTGTTTTAAAATTGCGCGGAAATACAGGGATCGCAATTGCGCAAAAGTAAAATCCAATAGCCCCAGAAACCCTTCTCAACACAGGTACCTTATAGGATCTTACATTGATTACAACTGTCAGCTTTAAGTAAATAAACCAATTGACATGCTTGGGAACCCAGCGTTCCCCAGGTTAATCACCTTTTACCCGCGTCTGGCCTAAATTACGATTTAAAAGCTATATATCCCTATAATAGACGACCCATTCAACTTATAACCTCAAATCCAGGCTAAGACCATACCCGTGGTTCTCCCGAGTTCCACAATCAAATTTGAGGCAAATCAGTCATGGGACGTACTCCTATAAATTATGATCGGACATATAACAAAAAACAGAGATTAAAACTTTTTTATATAGATACTTGATTTAATTCCTACATATTCTCTTTAGGTTCAGAGTCCTATAGTATCCGACTCGACATGCAAAGCGTTTTATGGTAGTTCTGAAATCAAAGATAATATGATCTGCGCTGGTTTAGCAGAGGGAGGAGTAGATGCCTGCCAGGTCAGTACTATAATACATGCTCCGGGAGGAGTAGATGCCTGCAAGGTCAGTACTATATAATACATGCTCCAGGAGGAGTAGATGCCTGCCAGGTCAGTACTATAATACATGCTCCGGGAGGAGTAGATGCCTGGGTAAAAATGCCCCACCTAAAATTACAAAAAAGTTGTAACAATGAGATACTCTAATGTACAGTTTACACTGTACACTTACAGGGTGATATCGGAGGATCTTTAATGACACTGTACAGGGTGATAGCGGTGGACCTCTAGTAGCACGTGGCAGTACTGCAGTTGGATACAGCCTGGTGGGAGTTGTCAGCTGGGGAAACGGTTGTGCAAGGAATAAATTAATTCAAAAATATCGGATAGAGGAAATAGATTTTAAAAAGACATTAAATCCATTTTGGAATTTTCAAAACCCTTCAAATATGATGTTTCCTTTTCCAAAGTACACTGTACATTTTATTGAATATCAGCATATACTTTCAAGATTAGAAATCAAATCTTTCCTGTCTATGATTAAATCCTTGATTTTGAAATTAATGTATCCCCGTGTTAGGCCTGGTTACTATGGAGTATACGCAGAAGTTTCCAAGTTTCTGACTTGGATTGAATATTATATGGATTAATAAAATAAAAAAAAATATGTCTAGATATAGAATTCAAAGTTAGGAAACGGAAATGGTTTCCGTAGTTTCCAAGATTGGAACGGATAGAATCTCATGAATAATATATTTGTAACTGTTATTTATTGCTTTAGTATTTATTTTTCAATAAAATTTTGATTATTAAATATTGCTTAGATTACTTCTATTTTATAAATGCTTATTCTACAAGAAGTGGACATTAAATTTAATTTACGATATGTGTATTTTGGACTTGAGTTATACATGCTAGTTTGAGTGCTATAGTACGTTTTTATGTTTACATTTTTTTCTAAAGCAAAGTTGATTTATGATATGGAAATTAACCCAAGAAAAGGGATAAACTATTCGTAAATTTTAGAAATGTGCCTAGATACTGTTTGGTTCCTTAAAGAGCACTTACATATAGATATCCCTTAAAGTTAGTCATTTGAACTTGGTTTACAGTGAGAGGCGGTTCTTGTAATTTCAAGTGCACCCGCAATTAAAAAGGCACATGCCTGATTCTTAACAGTACCCTTAAAGGGACAGACCGGCTATGTAAGGTAGCTGAACTGAGTATCCAGTGTTGTGGACAAATTCTTTAGGGTTCATTTGAGACATATGAACTTTTTAAAAATCTGTAAATCCTGAGTTTGAGCACAAAGTCGACGTTCAAAATCATTAATTTGGGTAATTATACGTAATTATACATCGTGAAAACGTCTTATATGTCTCAACTGAATCCTAAAGAATTTTTCCACAACACTGCATACTAAGTTTTACTACCTTACATAGGCGGTCTGTCCCTTTAAACTCTTTATATGATCAAACAAATATCTAGCTTGAAACTGTTAAATTCTGATAATTCCGAAACTGTTTTCCTGAAACACAAAGCAGAAGTAAATCACTTTAATAAACGTTATAGCAGACCCTTCAATAACCATTTTTTTTCCCTCGCTAACAAACATGTGTATACTATCGATACTGTGTTGAATCGGACATGCTACTAGAAATGAAGGTTTACTAGAAATTACGACTAAATTCTGTTTAAGTTAAACACATTTGACTGCAAGTTCCCAATTGGGGAAACATGAACTGTGTGAAAATGTCGTATTCTTCCTAACTTTTCTAATGATAAGACGTCGTTAATAAATATATGAAGTAATTCAAGATTTTGTGTATGAAGTAAGACATTGGCGAAGTAAAAAAATATTTTTCTAAAATTAAAAAATGCACCAGTAAATTCAGCTGATAAATTACAAATGAAAATTATAAGTAAAAAAACGTTCTCCATACTTGATCAGACAACAGTTTTATGGATACTGTCGTGAATCGGACAGTGCCATCATTAAATTACTCTTACAGTCCTTTTAGGTTTATGATACACTTTTTTCCAGTCAATCAATGGACTCATACAGGGTGTAACACAAAACATGATTTGTTAAGTTGTTTAATACCAAAGACAATAATAAACATATTATATAGGAGTCATATTATAGTAAAATGATTTTCAAAGTAAAATATATTTGAGCAATCGAAATAAACTGCAAACAGCCTGTAATATCTAATATCTAATGTATGGAGGACGACATTCAAAATTAGTTACCAACTGTCATGTTTCGTGGGACACCATGTAGTTGACATTTATCTAAACCATGGGTGGACATTTATCCCTTGTAACATTCATCCTAAGAACCACAGAACCATCAAGTTCATTTATTTATGCAGTGTTGCACTGATGCACGCTGCAAGGTTGGTGTATGTTTATTGCATAAATATAGCTTGACACTATTTACATGTGACATAATAACACTTGACACATGACAGTCACGATTATATACATCATATCACTGCTCAGGACTACAGGGTATCATGTTTTATTATCAATTGTTACTTGTATTTCTTAAAAACTAGGGTTATATAAACATCTAAAATAGGCAAACGACTTTTAGGCCCAATCATGACTTTAAACATATACCTATGAACATGAGATAAAACAATTATAAATAATAAGAGATTTATTAGTAACACTATTTGCATTCACCAGCATCAAATGCACTTAATTATTGCTTAAATTTCGTCTTCCTAGTCCACAGTTTTCTGTAAATAAGATTTGACGTTCAGCCTGGCTTTGAATCTTTGTAAATATTTTACCATTAACCCTATCCAGATTAGGCTATTTGTGTCTAATAAAGCTGGGGGGGGGGGGTCACAATGAACTGGCCGCCCCTCCTTTATTTCCCTCAATTGCGATACAAATCTCTAACATTTGTTACATTTTTTAAAAGCCCTTGGGCCCTACTTCTATGATCTTAACCCTATATTTGCTGGGGTATTTGAAAACCAGGATATGGATGGTGTTCAAAAATACAAACAGTTCTTGATAACATGGATGGTGTTCAAAAATACAAACAGTTCGTGATATCATGGATGGTGTCCAAAATACAAACAATCTTTGATAATATGGACGGTGTCCAAAACTACAAACATCTCTAGATATTATGGATGGTGTCCAATAATACAAACAATTCTTTATAATATGGATGGTGTCCAAAATACAAACAACTCTAGATATTATGGATGGTGTCCAAAACTACAAACGTCCTTTAAAATACACTATAGTTTCAGTAGAGTAAATATTTCCATCTAAAGATAGATGTTACCGCCAAGTAATTTCTATTGGTTCAGAATAAACAACAAACACATGACTGAACCCTGATTGGATCAGGCGCTAAAGGACTCGGCATACAAGAGTGAAAGTGAAGGGTGTCCGAAAATACAACAATCCTTTATAATATGAAGGGTGTCCAAAAATACAAACAATCCTTAATAATCTGGATGGTTGCAGAATATTTGGACTGGATAGAAATGTTTTCTGAAGTTTCTCCTGAGCTGAAAACTTTAGAATGGTGGATATCAGGATTAAGGCTTAAACCACTCTTTTTCTTAATATCCAGTTTAAATATTGCTTGTTCTCCACATGAATTTAAACTCCAGAAAAAGGAACCAATCTGATATCTGGATATTTCATTCTAAAGTTTTCAGCTCTGACCAGTAATGTTCTGCTGCAGCTCATACTTCAGGATTATCCACGATTCTTGGCCTGTTGAAAAAGGAGGATTGTTTCTTTTCTTTCATATGGGGGATATTTTTAATGACTGGAATATAAAATTACAGAGTCTTAGGAATTTTTTGGCTGATTTTTCCTTTAATTTTAGCAGATTTTAACAAATCTATAAATGATTTTAAATTGCCATTTCAATAGAAAGACCCTAGGTAAATAAATTGAATCAATTCACAGTAGGCGGACTAGACCCGAGAAAAAATTTAAGAGACGAAAGTATACAGCATATGAGTGAATGCTGAGACAGAAATATAACGTACATGGAACTTTAGATTATTGTTTATATATTTTGTTTACAGTATGTAATGTGCGAAATCCCTGCCTAAACATTAATAATTTTTGGAATTTTTTGAATCACCCTAAACCAGTGTGTAACTGTATTGTACTTAATGTCCGCGTGAATACCCTTAAGATATATCTTATTCCTTACTTTAAATAGAAATGTTTTTGTTTAACTTTGAAATGGTTCACAATTGATAAACGTTTTAACTCCGTCATCGGAGAACAAGGAAGAAAGGCGGGCTGAAATTGTTTGGTTTGGATTCTTGTCTCCGAGAGGAGCATTTAAGTTGAAGACGATATTACATAAACTGTGGGGGGGGGTCTTAATGTTAATGGTTGACAAGTTTTTAAAAGGGAAGAGGCTGCAAAACACAACCCCCCTCTCCCGCAATCGTTCGTGATAGGGATAAGCAAAAACACTCGAAATTCATTTTTGGTATTAAATAATTGCAAATAATTGCATCGACCTATAAAAAAAAGATTAAAGGATACAGCAACAGGAAAAAACAAAGGGGAAAAGAGAAGAAGGAGAGATATATAAAAATTAAAGGATACAGCAACAGGAAAAAAACAAAGGGGAAAAGAGAAGAAGGAGAGAGATATAAAAAAGATTAAAGGATACAGCACCAGGAAAAAAACGCTGGGGAAAAGAGAAAAAGGATAGAGATATAAAAAACTAAGAATGCTGATTGCTGAATGTTGATCGCGTATAAAGAAGAATTAGGCATAAAAGGAGGAATTTTTGATTTGCTGAATAAGAATTTTATACAGTGTGTCCTTATAAACATTAACATCACAAAGATTTGCTGTAATGTGGCCTTTTTTGTTATCGTTTTTATTTGTTAAAGGGGGTGTTCGCGAAAAATGAAAGGGGATATGGGCTTACGGCGAAAGTAATCGCTTTTGATCGCAACTAATCTTACTTCTATCTGTTGCATCTATAAGAAGAGAATTGTTAAAAACGACTTATTCTGAAGAATGTAGCGTCCATACAAAGTCAGAAAGTTGCAATTTATACGACTCGAATTGTAAAATAATCAATTTCATTTTAAACAAATCATTCAGATATTGCAACCTATGGTCATCAAATATTTTTCGACGCATTCGTATACAGTTAATGTTTCATAATTTTTTATTCGTTTCGTCCACTGAAAACGTTGAAATAGTTGGCCGCCAGATGTCTCTGCTATCGATGCAGCTTTGTTTGATTAAAGGTGGCAGAGACACCTAGAGGAAAAAAGTCGTTTTAAGTGAATTGTATATAAAACAGATAACAAATATATCAGTATAAGTCGTTTTAAACAATTTTTTCCCAATAAACGCAACAGTTAGAAAAAGATTAGTAGCAATCAAAAGCGATTATTTTTCGCCGTACGCCTATACCCCCTTCATTTTTCGCGAACACTTCTTTTAAGTCCTTTTGATATCAATTTTTTAAAGCTGATTATTAAGTAGATCCTGTATTTGTGCAACAAAAATTCAATTAAAGTTGGAAAGACAAGACAAATTGGGTCTAGTCACTCAACTCTTATGTTTATTTGAAGACACTGTATTATGCAAAATTGATTTGAATCTGTTTGAACTCAACAGTTTTTATCATCATTCTGTTTAGTGGGTAGACAGTGCAGAAGAAAAATTCAACTAAATCAGAGAAATATATGCATCAGGAACACAGAAAGGAACTGAGGTGGCTTCAGATGGGGGGGGGGGGCTTGTATGATTAAATCATACAAATTAATATTCTCCTTATAGTACAGCAAT